AAAAAGAGGACGATTCAGATAGTCGATTCCGATTCTCTCTACTTGGCTCTAGAACTCTAAAGCCAGACAGAGCATATGTTCGAACACTTAGCGCATGTTGGAGCTCCCGTCACTCTTAGCCCTTCGATCCGGAGTTCAACCGGACCTCTGATACCTCCATCTTACTCCCTCTCGTTTGTAATCCCACTGCAAACTTCGAGCATCTGGGCTCAGGAATAAAGTCTCTGACCGACTCAAACTGAACGTAGGACACATTGCCTGAATCAGTATAAACCATGTGTCATTGAGTGTTAGGCCACATCCGATCACAACGTACGGCAAAATGATAAATATTTACTAGTTGGTCACTTTTCGCACCGACACCATTATTCATCGATGGAATAATACATATCCCAGACTCTAAATTCTAAGATACATATATATGGCTAAACTTTCTACAATGAGAATTTTATGGTTCATCAAAGGTAAATAATAAAGAAGTACCTCGTGTACTTGGAACCTTTTATCGATGTGAGTGGATTTACAAAGTACAGTACGTCAGTTGAATACATTGACCGCAGTTGTGAGAATCTGAGGCCTTCTCAATTTTTTGAAACAATCTGAGGCCTTCTCAATGAGCTGAGGCTATTGACGTTGAAGATTGGTTCCTATCGATGACAGGTCTGTGAGGGAATCAAGATGGCCCATACTTTGGCGATCTTGACCCTATGGTGCATCTGGAGGAAAAGGAACGCAGCGGTCTTTACGAACTCCACGTGTACGGCAAGGCAGGTGTTCACTATGATCAGAGATGAGTGCTCCACTACTACTGTAATGATTTTACGCAGTGGGCGAAATCGGTTTTCCGCGGCGGGCAAAGCTGTCCGCCATGGTTCAAAGGCCACGGGAAATCATGGCTTTACCGCAGCGGGCCAACTTGTCCGCCACGGTTAATCGATTAACCGTAGCGGGCAGGTTAGGATGCCCGCCGCGGTTAATGGTTTGAAAAAAAACAAAAAAAAAACTAGCGAGCCCAATTGAGCCCATCGCCAGGCCCAATCGAGCCCGCTGCCAGGTGCATCAGATCTGCTGCGGACGCGTCGCTGTCGTCGTCCTTGTGTGTGGATCTCGCCGGCCTCCGCCTCCTCGTGCCGATGGAGCTCGCAGACCCGCTCGCGGTCGTCGTCCTCATGCGTATGGATCTCGTCGGCCTCCGCCTCCTCGCGCCGCCAAAGCTCGCGGACCCGCCTGGACCAGCCGCCGTGGTGGCCGGGATATCCTTGCACCGGATCTGGGTGGCCCAAGGGAAGGCGGCGGCGCTCTGGGACGGACTGCATGCATGCATATCTGGGGAGAGAGTGAGGAGTGGAAGAGAGGGAGATGAGGAGCGAAGGCAACCTACCTGAGTTGGGGGAGGCGCGACGCAGAGGATGGGGAATGGCCGCCGCCGCCGCCGCTGCCTGGTGGAGGCGCCACCGGGAGAGCCGCCGCGCGCGCTGCTTGAGGGAGGGGAGGGGAGGGGAGCGGGGGAGGCGCCATCGGTGGAGGGAGAGGTGGAGGCCCGCCGCCGTCTGGAGAGTGGAGGGAGAGGGGAGAGGAGCACCGCCGTCTGGAGAGTGAAGGGAGTCGGGCGAGTGCGGTGGGTGAATGGAGGGAGTAGAGTGGGAGTCGGAGTGGAGATGACCTAAGTCTGCTTTATATACTAGCCCGGTAGGAAAACATATATGGGCTTTCACCTGGGCTCTGAGCTGGGCCGAATTTACCGTGGCGGGCCTTATACTGTGCCCGCCGTGATAAATCGATTTACCGTGGAAGACGCCCGCCACGGTAAATCGATTTATCGTGGCGGGCAAAAGTGCCCGCCGCGATAAATAAAAAATGTCCACCATGGTAAATCATGGGATTTACCGCGGCGGGAAAAAATTGAGCCCGCCACGGAGGCCTCCGGGACACCGTCGCGGTTAATCAATCCTGTAGTAGTGCTCTCTGTGGGCTCATGCCGAAGGAAGGGTCCTGAGGCCTCTAATAGTTGCAAATAATTTAGTGAGTAATTAGCTTTTGTACTCTAAACCCCCTGTAGCGGTCAGCTAGGGTCTGCGCTTCTCGCTCACTCTTTTCTCTCTTATTAACATAAGCCGGGTAACCGGCTCTTTAAAAAAAACATCATTCATGAATACAGCAACCATCATTGAACATTTATCAGCAACTTAGCATCACTAGTGTAGCAGGATTTTCGTTTCAAAAAAAAACATCGCTTTAAAAATAGTGTAGCATGAAGCGCTAGCTTATTGATTGACTGCACCTCCATTTTAATTTTTAATTTCATGTACGTTCATGTGTTCTGTCTTGATCTTCCACTCATCGAGACCAAATCGTCTGGCTGTGTGTGCTTAATTTGACTCAACCGATCAGTTGTTTTCTGTTTTCGAGCAGTCTGGCTAAGAGAACAAGACTTACGGTTACATGCATGTATACTGCTCTTGTTTAGATTAAGGCATCATTAATTATACAGTAATGTTGGGTATAGAGCGTCTATCCAGGTGGACAGTGTCGATGGTGGGCCGCAACACATCCCAACAACCGCTCATCCACTCGCCCTCGCCCCAACCGTTCAAACAAAAAAGAAAAAAAAACCTTCTATCCCTTTCGCTCCCTCCTCTCCACTACATCACTTGCGGCTGCCACTCCGCTCGTCCAGTCCCAAACGCGGATGCCACTCTGCCTCGCTGCTGCCGCACGCCCCCGACATCGCTCGCTTGCCCCCTCGCGAGCGCTTCTCGCCCCCTCCCGGCGTGAGTGCTTCTCGCCCCCTCTCATCGCGCGCGCTGGTGCTGGTGGTGCTCACTTCGCCCGTCGAGCGTGCCGCCCGCCCGGCCGAGCCAAGACCGATGCTGATGCGCGCGTGCTTTGTGCTAGTGCGCCCACCCGGCCGAGCCAAGACCGATGCTGGTGCGTGCGCTGCTGGTGCTAGTGCGCCTGCCCGGCCGAGCCAAGACCGATGCTGGTGCTAGTGCGCCCGCCCGTCGAGCAAGCCCGCTACTGGTGGCAATGGTGCTCGAGCGCCGCCGCTCGCTGCCGGCTCCGACCCCGGCGGTTGGAATCGACCGGCCCCGACCTTCCCCTCCCCTATGTGGCATATGTATGTTTCAATTGTTTCAGATGTTTTCAGATGTATGTTGCATTGTTTCTATTTTGATGTTGCAAAAGTAAATCGGGGGATGTTGCACATGTTCCATATGTTGCAAGTGTTTTAGGTGCATGTTGCAAGCGTTTGTTCAAAATGTTTCATCTGTTTTCAGACGTATGTTGCAATCATTTTTGATGTAGATGTTGCATATGTTTCACACATATGTCAGTATGTTCCAAAATGTTTCAGTCTTATGTTACAACAAGTGGTTTCATGTTGCAAGTTACAAGTGTTATTTTTTTTGGATATTTCATGTGTTCCACACACATGTTGCAAGTGTGTGTTCCAAGTGTTTCATCTGTTTTTAGACGTATGTTGCTTTCAAAAAAAATTTCATGTTGCAAGTGTTTTATATTGTTCGGCTAGGGGCAAAGCCGAGGGGCAGGAGGACGGTGCGCGCGGCGCCGGGGGGGGGGGCTATAGATAGACTGGAGCGTTGAGGGTGGGCGGACGGGTGCTCCGGTCGGGGACACGTCGGGTCCCAGCTCTCGACTGCTGCCCGCGCGAAGAGAGAGGAGCGAGTCTGGGGAATGACCGGTGGGCGCAGATACGGGGGCGGAGGTGCACGCATGGGACGGGGCGAATCTGGACGAGGGTGGGACGATGGCGGATTGGGGTAGGCTACGTGGGCGTCAGGACGCGCGCGTCCGTCCGGACGTCCAGGCGCTAGTCACGCCCTAAATTATAGCTTGCCACCCAGTTTGAAGTTTCTTATGGTTTCAAAAACGCTAGATACTTGTTCCCTTTTATGGTTATATATGAACCTTTCTTCCTCAACTTACTCCTTTGGAGAATAAAGTAACAACAACTGTTATTTAGATTTACCGCTTCGGGACACAATTTAAATCAAAGTTTACTCCTTGGAGCCAAACAACACAAGAATTTTAGGCTTGGAGAGACAAAAAGAACATGTTATTCATCTATATATGATGATCTACGGTTGTGAAATGGATTTATTTGATTAAGCTTTATGACTGCGTTTATTACTTTAGACAATATAAAAGTGGTTGCTACTTCAAGTCTTGAATACCCAAACATGTGTCACTCCTAAGTAAGAATTTACTACTCTTTTAAAAAAAAAAAAGAATTTACTACTCGATCGAATGCCAAAACACATGTCAATCTTGAGTTTTGTCATTGCATTTACTACTTAGACAATATGAATAATTACTTGTGACGATCCCATTGTTGTGAATTGTGGCCTGCGATCAGGATTGAAGCTTTTTTAGTACTAGTTCTAAACATGCATGGGACTCTTCCTTTTTATGGTTGTCCCAAAAAACTGTTGCCATAGATATATGTGCCTTGAAAATTGTGTCTATTGGTGTGGGGGCCCCATTATTATACAACCGAAAATAATAAAACTCATCAGCACAAGAAATCCAAATCCATTCATGTAGTAATAATAATTTCATCAAGATTATACTGATGAACCAAGCAACTGATCATTATATATACGATTATTATTACGGTCCAACATATGTCATGCATAGCTTGCACTGGTCAGTACTCATCAGTACCTCGTTCTCCCTGTTCGCTTGGCTGAATTTGACTGAAAAACATTGTTCCAGCTGAATAATTATTGTGAGAGAAAAATATTGTTCGACTAAAAAACGATGCCAAATAAGTCAAAACTTAAGATCAACCGAACGGGGCAATAGCACGATTGAGTCCATATATACATACTCAGAAATATAGTCGTACGTACTGGCTCGATCCGTACGTACTCATGCTCCGAAACTACAAACTACGTAAGATTATTCCGATCCGGATCATGATTAATTAATTAATTCTTGCTCTGCTTATCCTGCCTGCCGGCGCGGCCGGGCCGGCTCTACTCCTCCCCTCGAGGTCGACGGAGCAGGACCAGGGCGGCAAGCGCGTCGCCCACGGCGAAGAAGATGAAGGCCACGACCGAGAAGAGGCTGAGGACGAGGAGATTGTCGCCCGGGGCCGTGACCAGGGTGACTCCCAACAGCCAGGTGATGACGCAGTGGATGGCGACGGCGGACGCGAGGCCGACGCAGGCGAGGGCCCGGCGGATCCGGCCGCGGCCCCTCAGCAGCATCGCCAGAAACGCGGGGCCGGCCCCCGCGGCGCCGAACCACATGATGGCGGTCTGGAGGGCGAGCGCGTTGGCGGCCTGCGCCGGCGTCAGGAGCTGCTTGCGATGCATTGCATGCAGAAAATGGTCATTAATTAAATAAACGCATGAACGAGAACGACTGGCTTTTAATTTAGTAAAGGAAAGTTGATTATTAATTGCAGCATGCATGCAGCTACCTTGAGGTTTGGCAGGTTGCCTTCCAAGTATGTCATGGTGAACTGAAGGCAGGCGGACAGTGACCAGAAACAGACCCATTGGAAGGAGAAGAACACCTTCAGCAGTGGCCCGTCCATCTCTGAATCAAACATGAACAAGTACCGGAACAAGTGAGTGAGTGAGGAGTGAGTGAGTGAATATATGGGGAACAAACAAACATTTTTTCCAACTGAATCAAACATGAACAAGTACTGGAAAAAAGAGATGGTCCGCCTTTTGAGTTTGGACACAAGACAGGAACGACAAACCCACTTGCTTTGCTCTCGCTTGGACCAGAGAAAGGGTTTTCATCCGAGAAGGAAGAGAGTACTCACCGGTGGGAGTGGGACAGAGAGAGAGAAAGCGCTTCGATCGCTTCGTTGCGTGGAGTAAGTGGCAGAGCTAGAGCAAATACGAGGGAGGTGCGTTTGTCTTTGTGGGTGTGAGGATTTGTAATATATAGGTGCATATATGATGAAAATTTGGATCTTATTACTGTTTTCAAATTTTTTGTGGGTGCAGCTACACCCACAGAGTTCAGTATAGCTCCGCCCATGCCGGGAGCGACGTCCGAACGTGCGCTGGACCAACGAAGCTTGCTAGGAGAGTAATAAGATTTGAGAATGTGGGACGATCGAGTGAAGCCAGGAATGAAGAAGAGTAGGAGGGACGAGGCCAGGGATACCCTGTTCGGCTGATCCAGTTTTATTGATTTCAGCTGATTTTGACTGATGCAATAGTATTCTGTAAGAGAATAACCTAAACTGGATCAGCCGAACGGGTCATGGTCTCAGACGATATGTATCGGAGGCTTGGGCTCGGGGCCTTGTGGAGTTGTGGACCCCATAAACCCCACAAGGTACACACAGCGCGCGGTTCCAGTACGTATCATCTCCGGAGCGTCGTCGTTGCATCTACATGCAGCATGGTTTACTTCGACAAATATCTGATAGTATCTCTGTGTAAAATCGCAGTCCCATCGTCAAAGCATGCCTGACATGCGATAGTGACACACATGATCCGTCATCACCTCTGTTCCATACGTACCTTCCCCCACCGGCCACCGCCCACCCACACCCCCACTTTCCACTTCTGCGTCTCCGTTCGGGAAAACAAGCTACTACCGAGGCTATCCGCACTCGTCGACCTCTCCAAACTTCATCTTCCTCCTGACTGGTACATTTCTTCTTCCTCGACAACAAGCCAAACAGATCAAATAGCAGCTATCCGATGAGCGGGCTGGGCCTCGGCATTTCTATCTCGAAAAGAATATTCTATTTTAGTTATCAAGATTCTTTACTATATATTTATTTTTCCCACAAGCACAAGTTATCAGCACGACATCGGCTCTCCTCGAGAAGAAGCACAACCCTCAGCTCTGTTGCTACAGTGTTTGGCGACGGCACCGCGGTGAACGCGGCCTGGGCGGACGTGGGCGACCTGGGCAACGACGGCGCGGCCTGTGCGGACGCGAGCGACTTGGGCAACGACGGACGCCGAGGGTGCGGGTGCGAGCGGCTTTTAAAAACGACGGCGCATCGAATATTTATATACTAAGCCGAGCATTAAATATAGATTAATTATAAAACCAATTACATAGGTCGGCGTTAATTTGTGAGACCGCATCTAAGCAGGGTCATTAGCATAGGGGCGAGCGCACGTTGTCAAAATGGACTAATTAGACTTAAAAGATTTTCTCGCAAAGCAATGTGCAATTAATTTCGTAATTAGTCTATATTTAATACTGCATCGGGCCGAGGGGAGACGTCGATATTCCCCACGAGAGAAACAAACATGCCCTAAACTGAGAGAGATCGAAGGACCGGATACGTATGCATATGCATGAATCTCTCGTTCAGATGATATCTCGTTTGAGACTAGATACAACGTTGGTTTTTGATATCCCATTAGAACTGAAGGTTGAAGCATGCATCGAATCATGCCGTTGTGTGAACCGATGCTGAAGGAAAAGATACAAGCATTTCTCAACTGATGGATGTGTGAAGGCAGGAAAAGGTATGGCTGTAAAGTTCTGACAATTTGTCTCAGCTGAGATGAGGACCTGCATCGAAGCTTCATGGAAATAAACCAGCATCGATGCATATCAGGTAGCTTAGTAGGAAGAGTTCTTTCTGGGCATGCAGCTCCCATCTCATCAGTTTGACACGTTCAACGATGGAATAACCAGATAGAAACCTATAGGATCAGAAATCTCGCATTCTAGCTAGCTACTGTATATATGTATTCTCTTTGCAAACTTGGTGAGCACTAGTGTTATGTACTACCGTGGTACTAGCAGGCACCAAACTTGGTTTTCAACCTGTCACCATTTGATGCCGAAATTGAACTCGACGCTATGCGTGCAAAAGCAGCAACCAGGACAGAACTTCATCAGTCCAGGGGCACATGCACATCGATCTGAAACCTCTCTTATGCCACGTTTTTTCAGTTTAGAACCTGAGGTGCGAACGGAGCCAACATCGTGACTCGCCCACGCTCTGATGTGGCCAACACTTAGCTGATGCTGCCACTGCTCGGGCTCATTGATTTCATCAGAATTCAGAAGCATGTGCCACCGGGCCAAAGCCACTCGCCCACTCCTGAACCCCACCAGTGCAGCACCTGAGTCCTGACCACACCTTCTTACTAATACCCATAATTATATATTTTAGTAATGAATGACAATCATAATATGGATTAGATTTGTTGGTGTATGTATTCATGTCATCCAAAACTATAAACATTGGCCATGACTAGTATGGAGAAATGATAGCTTATTTGTGCCTTTACTGTTAAGTCATCTGTTACTACATAATAATAAAGTCCATGTTCGCTTGTCTTGTGAGCCGTACTTTTTCAGCGAACGAACATTGTTTTTCTCTCACAACAAATCAGCGAACAATACTTTCAGCCATGACTTTTCAGCGAAGCGAACAGGGCCAAAGAGTCGGTGTCCAGCACACCTGGTTCAATGTATCAATCAAAGTTGTCAATTTTGGCAGATTTAGTGGGTTCTTCTCCACCCTATGCAACATGATGCTTACTCCTAATAAGAAATGCTAATTAAACAGCCTGTTTCCATGCACTAGTATATGCGCCCCAGCAAAACGTGGATGCTGTAGTCCTAGCTAGGCCCTTGCCTGTAGCCTCTCGCGTTTCGTTTCTGCGTTCTACCAAACCGAAGGTTCGATTGCGCTCTAGCCGCTAGGCGTGCGGAAATAGCATCCAGCAACCACGTACACGAGCAAAGCCGCACAGGCCACGCATGCCTCCCTGACGCAACACGTCGAAGGGTTGGATCTGTGGCTGCGCGTCATCCTATTCCTATCTAGGCCTGCCTGGCTGTGCCTTTTATCAGGTGTGGACGTGTGGTGTGAGCTAAAGGCGTGGTTAGAAGTCAATAAAGGCAGTGCTTAGTTTACTAGGAGCGTTAACCCTCGCCGTTGCTTTGGCTCGCGGTGCTGGAGCACACTCACTGATCCCCCGTGCGGCGCGGCGACGACTTTGACGCTACGCCGGCGACGGCCAGTGGATGCAGGCGCACCGCAAGGATCGGAGTGTTGTTGTGCAGCCAGCGCTTTTATAAGCGCAGAGCGTGCGGAGCAGCGTCATTTGATTGGAGCATCACAGAGGCACAGACCTTACGGAGTCTGCCATGTTTCCCGGCTGCTGCCTCGCGGCTGTTCTCGTCGCAGCTCTCGCCTCTCCTCACCGTCTCGCCACGTCGGCGGCGGCGGCGGGCGAGGGAAGCGCGACGACGACGAGCTGGCACGACGTGAGCGTCAAGTCGCTGCTGCCGAACACGATCTGCACGGCCACGAAAGGACCAGGTAGTGTCTTCCTCACTACTTACTCTGCCATGTGCCATACTGCCATCCTATGCACTTCTTCCGTGTGTCTTCACATGTGGCTATTTTATTCGGGAAAAAAAAAGATAGCGTCACATGACTAGCTCGTCCTGCATGCAGCGGCACCCAGCTCGTCGGCGCTCACCGTCGTGCACAGGCACGGCCCGTGCTCGCCGCTGCAGTCACGCGGCGGCGCACCGTCCCATACCGAGATCCTACGCCGGGACCAGGACCGAGTCGACGCCATACGCCGCAAGGCGGCCGCTGTAACTGCGGCGTCCAAGTCCAAGGGCGGCATGTCCCTGCTGGCGAACTGGGGCAAATCTCTCGGCACCAACAACTACGTCACCTCGCTCCGCCTGGGCACGCCGGCGACGGACCTGCTGGTGGAGCTCGACACCGGCAGCACCCAGTCGTGGGTGCAGTGCAAGCCATGCGCGGACTGCTACGAGCAGCACGACCCGGTCTTCGACCCCACCAGGTCGGCGACGTACTCCGCCATACCCTGCGGCGCGCGGGAGTGCCAGGAGCTCAGCTCGTCGTCGCGCAACTGCTCGTCGGACAACAAGAAGTGCCCCTACGAGGTCTCCTACGGAGACGACTCGTACACCGTCGGTGACCTCGCGCGCGACACGCTGACGCTGTCGCTGACGCCGGCCGACACGGTCCTGGGCTTCGTCTTCGGGTGCGGCCACAGCAACGCCGGGACCTTCGGCGAGATCGACGGGCTCTTGGGCCTCGGCCGCGGGAAGGCGTCGCTGCCGTCGCAGGTGGCGGCCAGGTACGGCGCGGGCTTCTCCTACTGCCTTCCGTCGTCGTCGAGCGCCGCGGGGTACCTGTCCTTCGGCGGAGCCGCCGCCCCTGCGAACGCGCAGTTCACGGAGATGGTGACCGGCCAGGACCCGACGTCCTACTACCTCAACCTCACCGGCATAATGGTCGCCGGACGGGCGATCAAGGTGCCCCCGTCCGTGTTCGCGACGGCGGCGGGGACCATTATCGACTCGGGCACCGCGTTCAGCCGCCTCCCCCCACGCGCCTACGCGGCGCTGCGGTCGTCGTTCCGAAGCGCCATGGGCAGGTACAGGTACAAGAGGGCGCCCAGCTCGACCATTTTCGACACGTGCTATGACTTCACCGGCCACGAGACCGTGCAGATACCGTCGGTGGCGCTGGTGTTCGCCGACGGCGCCACCGTGCACCTGCACCCCAGCGGCGTGCTTTATACGTGGAACGATGTGTCCCAGACGTGCCTCGCGTTCGTGCCCAACCAGGACGAGCGGGGGGCATACTTGGGAACACGCAGCAGAGGACGCTCGCCGTCATCTACGACGTGGGCAACCAGAAGATCGGGTTCGGCGCCAAGGGCTGCGCCTGAAATCCACCGTGGTTCGCAAAAGATCAACGGCTATAACGTGATGCGATCCTAGAGATCGTGGCTTAAATATGATAATAGCTTTGTTGTGGTGATCTTGAGAGGAAGATTTTCAGACTTTCAAGATTATGACAAAATCACAAAATAAAATATTGGATTTTGATATCTACAAGCAAAAGAAATCGATCCATCGATTCTCTGATATATTTTAGATTACAAAAAATTTCCACCTTCAGCCTTCTTCTAGGAACAAAAGCATGAGTCCAAATTTATTATAGCAGCACACCCATAATTAAACTTATTACAGATTCAGAACTAAAGTTCAAGACGGTAAATGAAGAACCATTCATTCGATGCAAAGAACCTCGTGGCTCTTGATTTTAGTAGCTTGCAAGTGTCGAGAATCCATTCCTTGCCGTCATCTAAGCGCTGTAAATCTGTAATAGAGCCCAAAATCATAATATATGTGTGAGAAGAAGTCACCTCGTCTTAGGAATAACATATAAACTACTTTGCAATTAGATATTTCAAAATATATATAGCATTTGTCCTAGTGCAAATCACTAAAACGTAACGGTTTGCAACATATATAGCACACGTGTCATGTTCCATAGAATTTAAATATGGACTGTTAATTGATTTAAAATGAAAAAATAGGATAGGGAAGAGCCGGCTGCTGCCCTGTCACGCCAACTCCAACACGACACTGGACAGGATGATTTTGCCCAACCAGAGTGCGTTCATTAAGGGGCGTTGCATCCACGATAATTTCCGCACTGTGCAGCTATCGTGCCGGGCATTGCACGCTCGCAAAACGCCTTGTGTACTGCTAAAAGTGGACATCGACAGGGCCTTTGAATCTGTGTCTTGGCAGTACCTGCTGGAGGTGTTGCAACACTTGTGATTCAGTCGGCGGTGGTGTAACTGGATTTCCATAATGGTATCGACAGCGAGCACGCGCATCCTGCTCAACGGGAGACCAGGAAGGCGCATCTGCCACGCACGGGGCCTTCGTCCTGTCACCCATGTTGGTCGCCATAGCGATGGATGTCCTCAACAGGCTCTTAATCTGCATGGACTTACGGCGGTTCCTCACCCCGCTGCCATGCAGGCCCATAAGGTACCGGGCATCCCTATATGTAGATGACATTGTGCTATTCGTTGCCCCATTGGTTGCTGATCTCACGGCGCTGAAGACAGCACTGGAAATTTTTGCGACGGCGTCGGGCTTATACACCAATTTGGACAAGTGTGTCGCTACACCGATACATTGCTCTCAGGAACAGATTGACTTGGTCTCTGAAACCATGACCTGTGCGGTGGCAGACTTCCCTTGCCGGTACCTGGGAGTACCCCTATCCATCTACAAGCCGAGAAGAAGTGATGAGTAGTATCTTGTTGATGTCGCCGCCAACCGTATCCATGGTTGGAAGGGTAACTTGCTAAATCAGGCTGGGAGAATGACGTTGGTTCGTGCAGCGCTTTCGGCAATACCAGTCCATCTGTCTATCCTTGCCTGTCTCTCTCCATGGGCGTTGGAGAACATTGATCGGCGTCGAATTCTTTGGTTTGGTGGGGAAACGGTCGTGGCCGGGAAATGCCGGGTCGCTTGGACGGTGGCACGCAGGCCGCGAGACCTTGGTGGCCTTGGCATTATCGACCTACGTCGTGCTGGTGTTGCTTTTCAGGTAAGATGGGAGTGGCTGCGGAGGACCAAACCAGATAGCACCTGGGCGTTGCTGCCTGCAAAGCGGGAGAAGGCGGTTGCTGAATTTTTCCAAACCGTTACCTACTCTGTCCTGGGCGATGGCCAGTCTACCTTGTTCTGGCTGGATAGGTGGGTCGATGGGAGGAGTCTGAAGCAACTGGCACCGGCATTGTTTGCTTCTCTTTGCAGGTCGGGTCGTCATCGTGTTGTTGCCCAGGCGCATCCCCGAAGGGCCTGGGTTGGGGACATCGGCTCTGAAGTGTCAGTCCAGGTCCTTGTTGAGTACCTCAGAGCCTGGGAGATCACTGAAAATGTTCAGTTAACGCCCGGGGTGCCCGACAGATTGAACTGGCGTTGGTCTAGTAACGCTCAATACTCCGCAAAGTTTCTTGGTTCTTCAAGGCTGCTGGGAGCCAAGCAACTCTGGAAGACGAATGCGCCACCGCGTGTGAAATTCTTCTTGTGGCTCACCCGCCATGGCCGTTGCTGGACTGCGGAGCGACGGCGGAGACATGGTCTACAACAGTCGGATGAATGCATTCTATGTGAGCAGGGGCTGAGTCCATGGAGCACCTTCTTCTTGGTTGTGTTTTCAGCAGGGAGATTTGGTCCATCGTTCTGGGGAAGCTGCATTGGACTCATCTATTGTTGTGCGCCAGGAAAATTTCTTCTCATAGTGGCTGCACGCCAGGAAACGGGTGCCAAAGGTGGCGCGTCGGGGATTTGACTGATTAACTTTCCTCATTGGCTGGATGATCTGGAAAGAGCGAAACGAGAGGACATTCGGTGGGATGTCTACGTTGCCGGCACAGTTACTGGTAAGGATTGTCGAAGAGGCCAAGGAGTGGTCCTTGGCGGGGGACGCTCGTATCCGAACGATACTAGAGCTGCTGTAGGGGGCTGCGATGTGTAGCCAGTCGCTCATCGTGTTGCGCGATATCTCTTCTTTGTTATTGTGGTGGAGGTTCTGTTCGGTAATCATACGATTACCAATTAGAATGCTTGTTAATCTGTAAGTTGAACTTGGCCCTTACTACCTCCTTTTAATGAAAAAGATGCCACGGCGTGGTCGTGAACAAAAGAGTCATATCTAAAAAAATATAGATTATTTCTAAGATACATATAAAAAAAAGTTAAATTCAGGGACGGGGAGGTCCACCAAGGGAGCAGAAGGCGCGTCCGTGTGCTCAGATTGACCTTGATGGAGAAGGTGGTGCCGTGGCTAATCGGCTATAGACGACGATGTCGATGATGCAAGGTCGCCGATGCGATTCGCGTACGGACTCGGATTAGCTGGGCCTGTCAACACGGCGATTGCCCTGCTGGGTGGTCTCAGTGGACACCCAAGTAAAACGGCGCGTGCAGGGAAACGCGAGCTCTGAGATGGGCCTCGATCACGCAGTACAGCGACTCTCAGATTTGTAGAAGACAGCGCGGCCCACCTCAAACTCGACGAAGGAACCAAAAGAGGCATCATGGCAAAGCCCATCTCCTTTTCTTTGTTTTTTGTTTTGATGAATAGTCCTGAAAAAAAATCTGAGTGGCTTTTGCACCTCTTTTGTGTGCACGGGTACATAGTACTTGTACGTTCGGACGCGCTTGGCTGCCTCAATAAAAGTTGGTGCACATTTGGGAATTACGAAATGTCACGCTTTGGGAATTACGAAATAAGACCGTCTCACGCTTGCTAAACGCAAAAATGCGTGGTGCATAGTTTTTTTTTACCAAAACACAACGGAAGACGAAAATACCCATTGTTCGGTTGGCAAATCTCCGCCGCTACCACCTCCCCACCTTCCTCTCCCCTCCGCTTCCCTTCCCCTTCCCCCACCGACAATCGGAGCAAGAAGCAATGGCGGCTCCAGCACTCCCGGCAGCAAGATGGACGCCGAGGCGAGGCGAGCAGCAGCAACAGCGTCTTCCTCCATGGAGTTCAAGTTTAGCCACTCCACCCCCAACCCCTAACGAAGCTCTTAGAACTGGGTAGCTCCTCCTCTCTCAATCGTCTTGAGCGCATCGGCCAAGGTGTGCTCTCGTCGCGGAACCGAGCCGCTTGGCCGAGCCGGAGCTAGGGGGCGCCCTTCTTCGACGTCGCGCGCGCTGGGCTCGACTTCTCGGGCGAGCGGGCTCGAGGCGAGGAGCGCCGGGAGGCTGGCTGCTGGCGGATTCGGGGAGGAGTGGAGTGGAGGAATCTGCGGGCCCTGGCTGTGTCTAGGGCGCCAGCGCCAGCGCCAGGCCCTGCCCACCTCCTCTGCGCCACGGATATTTTTTTGCGGGATTTGGGGCTCATCCGTTGGAGAGGTCAAGAATGGGTGTGTAGCTAGCTCAGACTGTGTCGCGTGACCTAAACGGTAAAATGGGTATCCGATTTGGATTATGTTGTTGGAGTCGGTCTAACAGGCTAGCACTAGTAGAATTCTAGAAGCTTCAATCGTCTTCATTTCTTGTTCCTCCAAAAAGGCGGGTCCGGCTACGCGAACGAATCTAATCTTCTCTAGATGAGTGTGTTTGAAAAAACGTGAAAAAAATACTGGCCGTCCAGTGCTAGTCGTAGTAGGCAGCAGGGGCTTTGCCGGTTAGGTACAGACGACGTAGAGTTGCTTTCTAGCTCGATTTGTTTTGGGCAACCGCAAGCCTGATTGCTTGGCCCAGCTCTGCCATGGCAACCACGAGCAGTCCTGCCTTCTTTCTCGCGCTGTCGTGCACGCACATGGATGTCTGACGGGATTTCTTCGAGTTCTAAATCCCGGCCCGCCGGTGACAATAATCCTGTTGTTACATTTGCGTTTCAGCCGGCACACGGTCGCATAAGCTAAAGAAAATGGTTGTCATATAGGTCACCGAGTCCTACCTTGTCATGCAGCTGAGGAGCACTGGTGCGCTCGCATGTCCGATTCGGCGTCGTGATCTCGCAAGGAATGCGACTCCCTGCCCTAGTTCGCGGCTCGGGTCGCTGTTAGTGCTTCTCTGTCAGCGTGCGTAACCGCTGCACTGATGAGTGATGACCCACGCTCGTAGCAGCGACCCGTCCCGAGAGAGAAGTCAAGTCACGGAGCCATGATTACTCCGTCACCTCACCATCTCAAGCGCCGTGGCTCACCACGCACCTCGACGACGCATCGGCGCTGGAAGAGCCATCCAGTCCGGCCGGCCTCCACGCCTTTTTCCTACAATGTGGTGCACGACAAGAAAGCTACGTCCGCATCATCCGATCCATCCGTCGCAGCACGCACTCACTCACTCACTGACTCACTTCACTCGCCACCGCCCGCGATCGTCGCTGTCGACGGGGATACATAGGATCTCGACGGCTCTAAGCCAAGTGGTGTCATTTTCTCCCCTACGCAGCACGCGTCCCGGTCTAACCGAATCGAGAGGGGAAGAGCGAGTGCGAACGGCCCGGGCCGGGGACGATTCGCCGTCGTCAGGTGCGGCGTGCGCGCTAAAACGCGTCGTCGCGTCGTGCGCAGTTGACGCGCCCGCGACGCCTGCCGGCCTGCTTTCAGACTCCGTCCTCACTCCCCGTAGACGCGCGTGCGGAGTGCGGCCGAAGTGCGAGTGGCCCGGCACTGGTTCCGCCGCCCCGTTATATGTTTCGTCGAGTCCGTCCTGCCTCCGTGGCTGGCGGGTGGCGGCCGTGCGAGGGGCCCGCCCGCGCGCGTGTGTGTGGCGCACGACCGTAGATTTTGACGCGGCACGGTACGGCCCACTGCGCACAAGCACAACACACTTCAGGTCGCGCGCGCGGCTGGCCAACCAGCAGTCCAGCACCAGTATATAAGCAGCGTCGTCTATCTCGGAGTCGATCACTCTGATCATTGGAGTGGTTAGCGAGCGCTAGCAGCTGGCTACAGCCTACACTCCTACAGAGCCCCGCCAGTCCGGCCCCCATGGCGTCCGTGACGCGGCGCGCTCTGTCCCGTGGCTGCCGCCGCCTGGCGGTTGTGCTGCTCGCGCTTGCAGTGGTCGCGTCGTTTGCGGCGGAGGACGAGAGCAGCGGGCCGGACTGGCACGTCGTCAGCGTCACCTCGCTGCTGCCGGACGCGGTCTGCAAGCCTAAGAGAGGTAGGCTTCGTGTGTTCCGCCTCCTTGCGCTGCTGCTTTTTTTTGGTTTCGGTGCTGTGGAAACTGTGCTGTGGTCGCCATTGTCATTTTCCCCCTTAAACCCAAAGGATGGTAGGTTAGCAGTGCGTGCGACGATGCGTGGATTGCAGAATACGGCCGACATGACTAAATGACTATCTGCCTATATGATATGAGTGCGTGACACATCGCTGGCTGGCGTGGTCGTCGTCGTCCACACTCCTGGAGATACCGGAGTTCTTTGATCACCCCTGGGGATACACAAAGTACGGTATCTTGAGTTTGCCGCCCCCCCCCTTCCCCTCTTCGAGAGAGTTTGATCGTCAAATGCATGTTGACGTATCTCGAACTCGCAGTGGGATGTTCTAGTGGTTCTAGCTCTCTTCCAAGTGAACATTCCAGGTGTTGTACGTACCTCTACGGAATTCCTCGGCATTAATCAACCAAGTACGCACGCTATACCGTAGACAGAGAAACTGTAAGTATGTGTAAATCCTAGTATTGTTAAGACACTTGGACCAGATAGCTTAGCTTTATGCCCAAGTCAACAAAGGAAGTTTTTTTGACAAGCAAGTTGGTTGTATTGCGGGACCGAGCTGCAGCTCGGATGGTGAGCTCTCCCGGTGTGGAGGCCACCGGTCCTGAATTCAAGCCCTGCTCAGCTCAGTGATTTCCCGGATGTTTGAGGTCTATAAGTTACACCTTCTAGGGGTGTGTGTGGTGGTGTGTAAAAAAAAAGTTGGTTGTATTGCACATTTGCAGCACTAACTACTGCTGTTAGGTACACACGACACGACAGTCGCACACGAGAATTTCTTGATGTGACCATCCAACCAAAGACCAAAGCACTCCCAAAAGAATTGCAGCAACAAAATTTTATCGTCCGTTGTTAACCGAAACAATGATGAATGCCGCCTCCAACTCCAAGCCCTGATAATAAGCACTCAAACGTCCTACTATCGTGTAGGCATTGTTTGATGCGCATGTATTCATCTCAATCAATTTGTATTGGAGTGAAGTTAAAATCGACTTGTATTGGAGTGAAGTTAAACTAAATTCTACTTCATTCCACTCAACTCATATGGATCAAGGTGGATACACATGTATCCCACCAAGACCCTAGTGAGCTTAAAACCCATGTTACGGTGTATTTACGACTCTGATAAATGTCCCTACGCAGAGATTCCACTACCAAACGTCAAATATACCAGTTTTTTCCCCAGAAGTCACCAAAAACCTGCTAACTTCCATGCTTACTGATATCATGCAGCGGTGTCAAACTCGTCGGCTCTCAGCGTGGTGCACCGGCACGCCCCATGCTCGCCGCTGCAGGCTAGGGGCGGCGAGCCGTCTCATGCGGAGATCCTGGACAGGGACCAGGACAGGGTCGACTCGATCCACCGCCTGACCGCTGGCCCGTCGACGGCCGACGACCCAGCCAGCGCCTCCAAGGGCGTGTCCCTGCCGGCGCGCAGGGGCGTGCCTCTCGGCACGGCCAACTACATCGTCTCGGTTGGCCTCGGGACGCCCAAGCGGGACTTCCTGGTGGTGTTCGACACCGGCAGCGACCTTTCTTGGGTGCAGTGCAAGCCGTGCGACGACTGCTACCAGCAGCACGACCCGCTCTTCGACCCGTCGCAGTCGACGACCTACTCCGCCGTGCCGTGCGGCGCGCCGGAGTGCCGGCGGCTCGACTCGGGGTCCTGCTCGTCGGGCAAGTGCCGGTATGAGGTCGTCTACGGCGACATGTCGCAGACGGACGGCAACCTCGCGCGCGACACGCTGACGCTGGGCCCGTCGTCGTCGTCCGACCAGCTCCAGGGGTTCGTCTTCGGGTGCGGCGACGACGACACCGGGCTGTTCGGCAAGGCCGACGGGCTCTTCGGCCTCGGCCGCGACAAGGTGTCGCTGGCCTCGCAGGCGGCCGCCAAGTACGGCACCGGGTTCTCCTATTGCTTGCCCTCGTCGTCCAGCGCCGAGGGGTACCTGTCCCTCGGCAGCGCCGCGCCGCCCAACGCGCAGTTCACGGCGATGGTGACCCGCAGCGACACCCCGTCTTTCTACTACCTCAACCTGGTCGGGATCAAGGTGGCCGGACGGACGGTCAGGGTGTCCCCCGCCGTGTTCAGGACGCCCGGCACCGTGATCGACTCGGGCACCGTGATCACCCGCCTCCCGTCCCGCGCCTACTCCGCGCTCCGGTCGTCGTTCGCGGGCCTCATGCGCAGGTACAAGAGGGCGCCCGCGCTGTCCATCCTGGACACGTGCTACGACTTCACGGGGCGGGCCAAGGTGCGTATCCCGTCGGTGGCGCTGCTGTTCGACGGCGGCGCCACCCTGAACCTCGGCTTCGGCGGGGTGCTGTACGTGGCGAAAAAGTCGCAGGCGTGCCTGGCGTTCGCGTCCAACGGCGACGACACCTCCATCGGCATCCTCGGCAACATGCAGCAGAAGACGTTCGCCGTGGTATACGACGTGGCTAACCAGAAGATCGGGTTCGGCGCCAAGGGCTGCAGCTGAGACTAGTCGTCATCAATTGGCGTGGCGTGCATGCATACGCCCATTGGTGATTCGATATACGATTCATATAGTTTCATATACATGTTAATATACAGGGCAAGTTGCTGATCACGATCCGTAATTCCCCGATGACAAATGGAAATAAAGATGATCAAGCCCGAAAACTCTGGCGCGCTGGTATGCATGGAAGGACAGCGCGGCTGTCGCCATCGTCCCTTTCCTTTCTTCGACCACGCCCGCGCAGGAATTTGCCTGGGCCGCCCCCTACAAATTCACTCGTCAGCAAGCACACACACGTCGGTCACGGTCCCTATCGCAAAATTCTTCCTCACACCAATCTCACCATCTGGTCACACAACACAATGAAGGTGTTCAAGATCCTAGTTTCGTGGTGCTCGCGCTTACTCCTTTGCGCGATCGGGTCCGCGTTCTCGGTGGTGATGCCCTCTGCCGCGGACCCCGCGATGGCACCTGCCGCTGCCGCTCCGAAGAGCTCCCTCGAGGCCATGCTCGACACGGTGAAGAAGCGCGGAGTGCAGGAGGAGGACGACTCCTTCCGCCGTTGCCGCCCAGGCCTAGATGCCGTGGCCGGCCGCTCACACCAAGACAACGGTCATCACTTCCTCCTCCTGGATTGAAGATTGGAAATGGTGAGGCCGTAGTTGACAGTACAGATGCCAATTGACGAGAGGGCAGATATTGGTACGGGCAGCCGCCGGCATCCTTAAGAACGGCAGCGGCAATCGTGTAGACGGCAAAATCTGTGCTTTGCCCACCGCAAAATATGTGATTTGTAATGACACTCATGTGATGTGAGTTATGACAATGGCACAAGGCCCATTATTTTTGAGTTGCAAACTCGTGTATGGTTACATTACATCTACCACACGGACAAGCGCACATTGACAAGGCTCGGTCATGTGTGCTGCGCATCGGCCAAGACGCGCGCGCTGACGAGACCCTGCCAAAACCAAGCTAAAGCTACGGCACGCCGTGGCGGTTGATGGTGTCGGTGGCCGTGCCCCCGGGGCGCCTGACGGCCCCTGCTCCTCCTCCACCTCCTCCCAGGTCTCGCTGAGGCTGGACGTCGTCGGGGCGCTTCGGCTTCGCCACGGGGATGGCGGTGCCTGGGACGGTAGGCGCCTCGGTGCCGGTGCCGCCGTGGGGCACGTCGGAGACGGGGAGGTGGCCCTGCGCGCCGTAGCCGCGCATCTTGTAGTCCTCGAGGCCTTCGTACTGCACGTACGGGCTCGTCTCCGTCGGCAGCTGCACCGTGTCGCTGTCGCCCTCGGCGGCGGCCTTCCGCTGCTGCTGCTGCCGCTCCTTGGTCGCCTCCATCTCCGTGTACCCTTGGCTTGATTCGCTGCTCGCGATTGTTCCTTTCCTCCCTTTTCTTGTGGATTAGGTGCTTGCACGAAGTTTTGTGATCCCACACGACGGAATCGCGCCTCCATTTATAGGAACCTAGAGCCGCGCGCTATGGCCACCTCGCCTGTTCACGGAGCGGCGTGGCGAGCAGAGAGGGTGCCCTCCTTGCACACGTGCCGAACAAAGGATGGGAACACGAATCGTCGTCTCGTACTCTCGTTCAAGAACACGAAACATTTTATAGGTTCAGGGAAAAGGGAGAGCTGAGCAGCAACTCAGTTAACAGCCAACGACTACAGTACACAGGAACGCAAAAGCACTAAAGCAGTATGTATACCTGGCAACTCCATGTCTCCATGGCGATCTGAAACATAAGGAAGGTCGTTCTAGGTATTGGACTTGGACAAATGAGAACTGAGTGTTCTTTCCTCTCTTTTTCTGAATTTTTTTAATAACAATTTCTGAAAAACTATGACAAAAAGTTAAAACAGAGCATACGATGGAAACTTTTCTATCCAAGTACTTCCCCTCAAAGTCGGAATTCGCCAAAAGCCCAAAACAATGCTCGACCTCATGCTCTGCATTTTTTTTTGTGACAACACATGCTCTGCAACTTTGAATAACATGCTCCAATTTAAGGGCTCTGCAACTTTGAATAACATGATCCAAATATCCAATTTAAAGGGTAGTGGCACCGCCGGCAGTGCAACAGAATGATTCCGAAGTCTAAACACCACAAAGAGCTATAAATATTTATACTTGATAACCAATCAAAAGACATAATAAGAACTTGTAATACATACTATTGCATTACGAGCATCGACAAACTGTTCGAAAGGTAACACACTGCCACGGATAAAAGCTGATCCACACTCCCGTAGCTGGCGAACACAAAATCGATACGGGCCAAAAGCATCGAACAGAAGACGGCTACGAAGCAAATAACTAAGGATAAAATGGCAGCCGCCAGGCTTAGTCGACCTCCTCCATCTTGCTCTCGCCGGCGTCGTCCTCCAGCGGGGGCATCTCGGCATCAGCCTCAGCCGACTCATCCTCGTCGATGCTCAGGCCGAGCTTGAGCATGCGGTGGATTCTGGTGCCGAAGGTGTTGGGGTCGTCCAGGCTGAAGCCCGAGGTCAGAAGAGAGGTCTCGAACAGCAGCATCACGAGATCCTTGACTGACTTGTCATTCTTGTCAGCCTCGGCACGCTTGCGGAGCTCATCCATGATTGGGTTCTCCGGGTTGATCTCCATAGTCTTTTTGCTCGACATGTAGCCCGCCATGCTCGAGTCCCTCAGAGCCTGCGCCTTCATGATCCGCTCCATGTTGGCCGTCCAGCCGTACTCACCAGTGACAAGACAGCACGGTGAGTCCACAACGCGGTCAGACACCACCACCTTCTCAACCTTGTCACCAAGGACCTCCTTGATGACTTTGCACAGCCCCTCAAACTTCTCCTTCAGCTCCTCCTTCCTCTTCTTCTCGTCCTCGGTCTCATCAAGCTTCAGACCCTCCTTGGTGGCAGAAACAAGTTTCTTGCCCTCAAACTCCTTGAGCTGACCAACAGCATACTCGTCAATGGCATCAACCATGTACAGGACCTCGTAGCCCCCTTCTTCAGCTTCTCCAGGAAGGGGAGTTCTCCACTGCCTTCTTGCTCTCACCAGTGATATAGTAGATGTCGTTCTGTCCCTCCTTCATCCTGGTCACATAGTCCTTGAGGCTGGTCAGCTCATCACCGCTCTTGGTGGAGTGGTATCTCAGAAGCTCAGCGATCTTGCTCCTGTTCTGCGAGTCCTCATGGATGCCAAGCTTGAGGTTCTTGGAGAAAGCCTCATAAAACTTGTTGTAGTCTTCCTTGTTCTCAGCAATCTCAAAGAAGAGCTCAACACACTTCTTCACGAGGTTCTTGCGGATCACCTTCAGGATCTTGTTCTGCTGAAGAGTCTCACGAGAGATGTTGAGGGGAAGGTCCTCAGAGTCAACAATACCCTTAACAAAGCTCAGCCACTCAGGGATCAGCTCCTCACAGTTGTCCATGATGAACACCCGGCGCACATAGAGCTTGATGTTGTTTTGCTTCTTCTTGGTGTCAAAGAGATCAAAGGGGGCCCTCTTAGGAACAAAGAGAACAGCCTTGAACTCCAGCTGACCCTCCACAGAGAAGTGCTTCACAGCCAGATGCTCCTCCCAGTCATTTGTCAAGCTCTTGTAGAAGGCAGCATATTCTTCCTTCGTGATCTCTTCTGGCTTCCTCATCCAGATGGGCTTCTGCTTGTTGATCAATGACCACTCATGAGAAACCTCCTTGATTTTCTTTTTCTTTTTTTCTTTCTCTTCCTTCTCCTCGTCAACATCCTCAACCTTGCCCTCCTCAGCATCTTTCTTCTCTTCCTCATCTTCGTCATCAGAAATTTCCTTCTCCGTTGTCTTTTCAGTCCACAGGGAGATGGGGTAGCTGATGAACTCAGAGTGCTTCTTGACCAGATCCTTAAGGCGCCGCTCCTCAAGGTATTCCAACTGCAAGAGAGAAGTTGAAAGGTGGGTTCAAGCAACACCAGCAGGTTTTACAACAAATCACTTCACTTCATTACACAGAACAAGCAAACATGTTACTTAAGCATCAATGAGGCAATCGACAGGAGAATAATCTTAAGAGAGAATATACTACACAATGAATATAGCAAAACAAGCAGAAAAATAAACATTACCAATTCACAAAGAAGAATACAATCATATAACTATAAAAATTAGTTCATTGTATTATAAACATTATGGACAGCAGAGGAAAATATGTATACCCAAAAATTAAGGCACAAATCTCTCAGTTCAAAAAATATGTACCCCGATTACAATGACATTTTACATGTCAAACTCAGCTAGGCACAGAACACTATAGCCACAACTCTAATATCATGGTGCAGGTATAGATCAAACCTTGATATTACTCCATTTAAGACAGTGATAGTTCACAGTTTATGTTACAATGAACATCAATCTACAAAGGTGCTAGTTTCAAATTTTGCAAACGAGCATGCTGAATTTTGTCCCCATACACTGAAAGTACCAGGATAAAGCATGGGACGATCTAGCAAACTAAGAATTTCTATGATTAGTTCAAGTATTGTATATTAGATGAGCTACTGGCACCAAAAAAAAAAACCATCAAGCACTCCAAACATAAGCACAAATCATGTAGCTAAGTTAGCATATATAATTAAATGATATAATAATCCAAGGGCAACAAAATGGGAGGATGGTAGTATGGAACATGAAGGAAATTGCTAATCATCTAAAGTCCCAAATATAAATAAATCTAGCAACCACATAAGTCATAAACTGCTATCATGCTATCACAGCTGCAGATGACAAACAGCTCCAGATTACATAACAAATCATAAAAGTAAGACTAAACACAGTTAGCATACCTGATCGTCCTTAAGGAAGAGCGTGATCTTAGTACCCCTGCCAAGTTGCTCCCCAGATGTATCACGAGTGACAGTGAACGACCCACCAGCCTGGGACTCCCAAACGTACTGCTCGTCATCGTTGTGTTTGGTGGTCACGACGACCCTCTCAGCGACGAGGTAGGCGGAGTAGAAACCGACACCGAACTGTCCAATCATGGACACATCAGCACCAGCAGCGAGGGCCTCCATGAACTCCTTGGTCCCGGACCTGGCGATGGTCCCCAGGTTGTTGACGAGGTCGGACTTGGTCATGCCGATGCCGCTGTCGATGATGGAGAGAGTGTTGGAAGCCTTGTCAGGGACAAGGTGGATGAACAGCTCCGGCTGCGCATCCAGCTTGCTCTTGTCCGTGAGGCTCTCGAACCTGATCTTGTCCAATGCCTGCAAAATTCAAAACAAAACACGAACCAACTTAGACTGCAGAGAAACAGAATCAAACGTTTAGAACTCGCGAACCGGACAGATTTGGATCGCTACCGAAAAGCCCGCACATCATCTCACAATGCTCAGATCAAACCACATCATCTCGCAATGCTCAGATCAAACCAGAAGGATACATAAAATCTAATACAGCAACGCACAGATGTATTCAGATTTCGAGAAGGATGGGGGCAGCTTACATCAGAAGAGTTTGAGATGAGCTCGCGGAGGAAAATCTCCTTGTTGGAATAGAAGGTGTTGATGATGAGGGAGAGCAGCTGGTTGATCTCGGCCTGAAAGGCGAAGGTCTCCGTGTCCGTCGCCATGGTTCCTGAGCTCCGAAGCTTGGAGGCGGCGGCTAGGGTTGGAGACTTGAGGGGTTTTCGGATCGAGAGGACTCAGAGGAGCCGCGAGGCGTGGGGTAGGGTAGTATTTATGTGGTGCCGCAGTTCTGGAATGTTCTACATGGGCCTAAAAAGGCCCGGCGAGGCCAGTGTCGTCAGTGTTGCTCAACAACAACAACAAAAAATCTCAAAAAAAAAATGCTTGGTTCCTGCTCAGCGGAGCGCCTGACCTCTGTCTAAAATAAAAAGAACGTGATTCTGATACGATACCAAATTAAAGTAGTACTTGAGATGCTTTGCCAAGAAAGTTGAAATGACTTCTAATTTAAAATGAAGTGAGTCCTTGCTAAAGCATATCCCTCGCATTGTTATAGGACTTTCTTAAAAATAAAAATGTTATATGTATCAGTTAAACCCACGTGTTCTTACATCCATTTTTATTAAAATTGGACGAGACAAAACAATCCAATAAAAAACTGTCAAAATTAGATCAAATTATAAGAAGATAGAATGACAAAAAAAAAGTGAAAGTCTTCTGCATTTCTAATATAATATTCAAAGTACTAATTGCGTTTAGTGAAGATGACAAACTTGATAGCTTTTGTTAAAATGTTGAAAGTTAGTGTGATGACATGGCTATTAGTGGGAGATTATATGAATAACTCACATGTTGAGATAGAACCCACGGTTAAGATTAGCTTTATAAGAAAAAATAACACATAGGAGATAAGAGATATAGATTTGGTGTCATAAACTTTAATATGTTTTTATATATATTTAGTCAGACTTTAGACACGTTAACAAAAAATACACTTAAAATTGCATTCTTTTGTGTACAGAGTAAGCAGGCTAGCCAAGGCCAGGCTCATGCAACTGCTTGTTGTTTACTGAATTAAAAAAAAACAAGCTGAAACTAAGATTTTAAAAAGAGCTCTTACTTTTTTTTTTTTTAGCTAAAGCGATCGATCCACCATCTGGAGGCTGTTTTCATTGACTTCAGAACGATCGTAGAACTGTCCGATCCGATCCACCCATCTGGAGACCCCAGGCCTGTATCTCTTCCCGCCGAATCCATTCCGTCCGCCACATTGTGGAGGCCCACAACCGAGTCCTAAATCCAGTCCGTTGGACCAGCAGAAAACGCATCCACGATCGTCCGTCTCCGCCACCCCTCCTCGCCTCTCCGTTCGGCCGAGTCCAGTCTCCAGTCCGCAACGGAAGGAGAGGAGGCGTCGACCGCGCAGCGCAAGCGTCGAGGGAAAATCGCACCAACCCGGGGCGAACGAATCGTCGGAGAAGGCCGGGGAGGAGCTCTAGAGGGTGCGGGAATGGAGACGGGGGTTGCCGTGTCGGCGGCGCCTCATGTTGCTTCGGCCACGGGATCGGGGACGGTGGAGGAGCAGGCGGCGGGGGTCGGCATCTTGCTTCAGATATCGATGCTCGTGCTCTCGTTCGTGCTCGGGCACATCCTACGCCGCCGAAAGTTCTACTACATCCCCGAGGCCAGCGGCTCCCTCCTGATCGGTGCGTACGCGTACGCGCCGCCACCTTGATCCTCGTAGTTTTGTTTGCTAGAATTTCGAAATGCCGATCAGCACATTCGGAGCTGGGGATTCTAAAATTCAAGTGGTTGGGGGATGGTAAGATAAATGCGACCGGATTACTTGGGGTTTGGGGGATGTTATGAGTCCGGCTATTACAAATGCAAGTTGCGACGTGGAGCGTTCGCCAAAGCAAATGTTCAACTGGCATAGGAGAGTTTAGTTTTTCTTTTATTTGAGAGAAATATGAGAGTGTTTTTAAGGGGACCTTGGTTCGATGAACAAAAAATGCACGCACCATACTGTATGGTTCCATTAGTATTATTTATCTACATTGTTAGATCGCAGCCTTCTGATTCTACTATCATGGCGTGTCATTAGCTGTAATTTGTCTGCGCTTTGCAGGAGAGAAAATGAGCCTGCATCTTGGCATTTTTCACTGAAGGATGCTTGTTATCCTGATCAGCTATCTTGTTGCTGCTAGAAACTGGTTTAGCTTTTATGATAAGTGAGGGTTTAAGATGAATGTGACATTTGGATGGATTATAATATTACTAACACTACTTATTTTCTATCTACTAACCTTAAGAATAGAACCTCTAGTAACATGGGTCACTTTTAGAGTCAGATAATATGTTAAGTCTACGTTCACTTTCACACTTCAGTTACTAGATATTTGGTCAGTTAATGCCACATGTCAATGTGCTCGATCTATGGCAGGCCAATGTCTATGCATTATTCTCAGCTGAATAGGTCTTGCTTGTTAATTCAATAATGTTGTTCTAATGAAATCGAATGCTGATTTTCTGCTTTTTGCTTAAAACAATTGTCTACTTCATGTGACATGTGTTATGTCACTTGCTAGGACTCAGGAGTTAATGTGTTTACCTATAAAACCTAACGCAGGCATTGTTATAGTTGATAGCCATGCTCATGAGCAGGGAAAAATTTATCGGCCGAAATCTTCTGATATTTCCGATATATCCTTTTTATCCGTAGGTGCCGATAAGAAAATATCTATCTTTTTCGTACAAATTTTATTTAAATTTATTTAAATTTACTTAAATTCAAATTAAAATTTATTTGAATTTGGTCCGATATTTTCGATATATCCTGTTTATCCTCTTTATCTGTGACCCCCGATAAATTTTAATTTCCGAAAATGAAAACCTTGCTCATGAGTTGCCAAGTTGATTTGACTTACTTTTCTTAATAATATGAATTACTTAGGGCCTTTAGGCATGTACCAGAATAGGAATAGTCATGTTATCTTTAATTGGTACTGTGAACTACTAAACTTTTATACAAGTTTCTTCTGGTAAACTGAAGCTTTTAGGATTGCACCATGTACCTGATGAGAAATGAGAAATCATTTAATATTTTTTTTGGTGTCAGGGATGATTGTTGGAGGGCTTGCTAACATGTCAAACACTCAGAAAAACATCAGGTGTATATGCTACATCTCTTACTCCTTTTGGTTGACCGAATAATCCCCACAAAAGCATTGCTGTTAGTTAGTTTTTGAACCTGTTTGATGTTTCTTTCCTTTTGTCAATTCAGGAGATGGTTCAATTTTCGGGAGGACTTCTTCCTTCTCTTCTTACTGCCTCCGATTATATTATATCCTTGATGATTGTATTCTGCTTTTATTTCTTATTGCTTATTGTGGATTTTTTTTATGTTTTACTTGACTGCATCTTACCCAGTCAGGATTCAGCTTGGCACCAGTAAGCGTTGGATCTTGAGGCCCTTTAGTTGCTTAGCATATCAGGAACAGTTAATCATTATATTATTATTTATTTTGTAGAAACCATTCTTTTCGAACTTTGATGCTATCATAACATTTGCAATCCTGGGAACCTTCATTGCCTCCATTGTTACCGGTCTTTTAGTGTAAGAACCCATTTCTATTCCATCCATACGTTTTCATATTTATTTATTCCATTGACAGATGGAAGTAATGAGTAATCTAATTTACACCTGTGTCAGCTACCTTGGTGGGTTACTATACATTGTCTACAGGCTCCCACTGGTGGAGTGTATGATGTTTGGTGCTCTTGTATCAGCAACTGATCCTGTGACAGTTTTGTCTATATTTCAGGTTTCTGCCACCACTTATCAAATACTCAAAGAATTTGTGCATGTTTTGCTGCTATGTTGAAACACATTCTTACATACCTCTCATATCTACTGCTATCTTGAAAGAATGTTTATGGAATTGCAGGAGCTTGGCACTGATACAAATCTATATGCACTGGTTTTTGGGGAATCAGTTTTAAATGACGCTGTATGCAGAAACTTTTCCATACCTCATACCCTTTGTTTAAATTTTTTCTACTGATGCTTATAAAATTCTCGGTACCCTTCTATGGTCTGTCATTTAAGGTGGCTATATCCTTGTACAGGTGAGGATGTGCTTTCTGAGTTGTGTTTTTTATTTCTTATTCGAAGAATCCTATTTTGAATAGCTTTACCTCTCAGGACTATGGCATCTATGAGGACGCACCATTCTGGAAAGAACTTTTTCCTTGTAATTCTGAGGTTTCTTGAAAATTTTGTTGGATCAATGTCATCAGGTATTTTGTAGTTCTTTATGTATATCAGAACAGATTCCGAGCAGCCTATAATCTAGTTGTCTTAATCAGATTATTCCCTCTCATTTTTATGATTGTTTGTAAACATTTATATGTTGTTTCACATTTGACCTTGTAATGACCTTTTCTCATGCAGGCATCAGTGTTGGACTAATTTCCGCTCTCATATCCTTTAATCTAACTTTACTTCTTAAAAATGAACATGATTAATCTTGAAAGCTATGAGGAGGTTTGGCTTCTTTTATAGTAAGTCTTGTTCACTCATGGGGATTTTTTTAGCACATACAAGTTGAAGCTCACCCAAAAAGGGCTGACAGCTATGTAGACTGCAAAAATCTGCACTAGATCTTAAAAGTTTCCCCCCAATTTCTGCAACTTCCATTTTCAAGACATCCTTTTTGCACCAGCACCACATAGATGTGTTTTTGTACTTTTGTCAAGTCATGTCTCAACTTTGCCAGTCCTTAATTCGGTCAAACCTCTTCAAGTATGCAGCACTGGGCGTTGAGAAGTAAGTAAAAGTTGGCACTTGTAGTTTGTCTGAAACTGGATCCCGTCACATAGACAACTAAACTTTGTATCATTTTCAGCCTTCACAACCTGGAGAGTTGCTTGTTTGTGCTTTTTCCATACTTCTCGTGAGCCTTATTTGAACTTCATTTATTTTTATGTTTCATTTAAAGGTTTCTGTTAGTTACCATCATATGTACTAGGTACATGCTAGCAGAAGGCATTGGTCTATCTGGCATTGTTTCTATTCTCTTCACTGGTATTGTAAGTTCAACTCCAATAATTTACCATGGATCTTGTTCTAGGCTTTAGTACTGGACTCGGAAAATGCTTTTATTTATCTTATGAGTTGTAGCTGCAAAATTCAGTTTCGCGAACCTCAGTTGCTTACTAAAAGAATTTTACTTCCAGGTGATGAAGAGATACACATTCTCTAACTTATCAGACGATTCTCAGCGTTTTACAGCTCGCTTTTTTCATCTTCTTTCTTCACTAGCAGAAGCTTTCGTGTAAGTCAGACTGTAGTTTCAGCTTGCATATGCAAACAACTCTAGATGATGAGTTGGCTGTGCTTCTATTCAGGTTCATATACATGGGAGTTGATATTGCAATGGAACGTCAAAGCTGGTCACATATTGGATTCATATTTTTCTCAATTGTATCCTTCTGTTGGATTGAACCACCAAACCTCTACTATGCACTGTACATAATGAAATATGTTTCTATTTTTCTGTTGCTTCCTTAATCTGTTGTTTATCAATGGCGTGCAGATCTTCATACTACTTGCAAGGTATCATTTGGCTAATCGAAAACCCCCCTTATTTTCTTTGATTTGGGATGTTTATCAACTTGATTGACTGGTTTTGGAAAATGCTTTCCAGTTTCCACTTTCTTTTTGGTAATAGGCTGCTTATCTACATTTTCAGTTTCTCATCTCGTTTTGATTTTGAAGGGCTGCAAATGTCTTCTCTTGTGCATACATACTGAATTTGGCACGACCTCCACATTGCCAAATACCTAGGCAATATCAGCAGGCTCTTTGGTATAGTGGTATGTGTGCAATAAAACATGTTCACTTTCGATAATTCTGCCATAAACTATGACGTCATATATTTTCATGCTTCTAAGTACTGATGCTGCTTATTCAGGGCTTAGAGGAGCTATGGCTTTTGCCCTCGCTCTTCAGTCTGTTCATGATCTTCCGGATGGACATGGCGAGACAATTTTTACTGCTACCACATCTATTGTTGTTCTAACTGTAAGTCGCTGGGTGTAATTCTTTCCACATTATATAAAAAACAACTTTTTTTTTGAAAGTAAATAAAAATGAACTTAGAATATCTGTATGGAAATGATTTGGATGGTATGCCTCTGAATTTTGTGATCCTACATAACAAGGCCTTGCTTCAAATACAGAATGTTACTTGATTTGAATTGAATTTATCCTTTGGAATTCTTTCAAAATTCTGGCATAAATAACCCTAACATGGCAATGTTCAAGGTACTCCTTATTGGTGGCTCAACTGGAACAATGCTTGAGGCTCTACAGGTAGTTGGGGACAGCAACCGTTATCGCCAACTGTATGAGGTAACTTCTTTTGCAATGTGTAACAACAATAAAACACTTTTGTTCTTTTCGAGTCATCCAGTGCATTGTAACCTTAATGCCAATTGGTACTAAAAAAAGATATACACACATTGCATTCCTTGCACCGACACCCCCCAGTGGTTCTCTACAGAAATGCACTCTATTTGTCATCTGCATAGAAAATTACAAACACGACAGGGGTTGTGATCACCATGTTGTGGTTTTTTTTTTGGTGCTTACAAACGGGCCATTAATGTTGTCCAATGCCGTTAAATCGTTAATTCAACTATTCAAGTATTTTATTTGTATTCAACTTTATACACCATGAGTGTTATTGGTTCATTCTGTATTATAAATGGCTTGCTTGGTAACTGCAGGAGAATTCTAATGGCAACGACACTGGTTACATGGGACAAAATTATGATGAAGGAGCATCCACTTCAAGCAAATTCAGATCTAAACTTAGAGATCTAAGGAGAAGGTGAACTAACTAGCTCCTGTTATTGAAATGCTGCTGATCTCGTTTGATTTTTTTACAACCTCTAGTTTTTTATTTATTGTGTTAACCTATTACAATAGAGCAAGTGCTGCTTCTCACTCCGGTAATTCAATTCGCTTATTATGCAGCACCTCGTCTTTCGCTTTACTGGACAAAAATTACCTTACTCCTATTTTCACTTTGCGAAATGGAGACTGCGATGATGATAGTACTACAGAAAGTCCCAGTAAGAGAACTCGTCCCTGTAACTTAGATACTCTTTCCTTAAAGATTTTCCTCACTTTATTCCCATTCCTTGTTATCCAACATCTACGAAGTGAACCTTTATCAAGTTGACTGTTCCTTGGGACTAACTATAGCTCTTGGATGCAAATGCAGATGAAGAATTGACTGTATCCAGAGGGCCTGGGGATTTGGAGGTACATGATTGATGACTGCATATATGAAGTGCACCAGACATTCGAACATAGCATTGTCATTATTATCAAGCTATAAACATTAGTTAGTTAGGATAGTTCGACGTAAGTAGTCTTTGTACGTAGAGTTATATATATAGGTGGAATTTATCAACCTTGAAATTCTGTTCTGGTCCGTTCCATTAGAAACTTCGTGTGTATTGTTCCCACAAATCTTCCGCGAGCAGAACTTTTTTCCTATATTCGTGAATTTGTTTGAAATTCTGAATGTCAAATATAGGCCCTAGAAATCAGATTCTTACTGGGACTGGGAAATACGTCCCTCAACGTTCCAACCAAATGTCCAATACGCATTACTTTAGCAAGCATTGCGAAAGTTAAGAGAGACAATGCAATAATGGAGACCTTCCATACTTGGTGGGCCAGAAAGCGCAAGGCCTGGATGGCCACATGCGCGTAGCACATGCCCGAGGCCCAAATGGCACCCACCAGCAGCGAACGAGTCAATGCTCCAGTCTCGCCGGCTTCTAGGCCCATGTGGAACATTCCAGAACTGCGGCACCACATAAATACTCCGCTACCCCTAACCTTGCTGACCCTCTCGATCCGAAAATCCCTCCAACCCTAGCCGCCTCCTGCAAGCTTCAGAGCTCAGGAACCAGGGCGCCATGGCGACGGAGACGGAGACCTTCGCCTTTCAGGCTGAGATCAACCAGCTGCTCTCCCTCATCATCAACACCTTCTACTCCAACAAGGAGATCTTCCTCCGCGAGCTCATCTCCAACTCATCCGATGTAAGTAACCCCCGTTCAAATGTCGAAGTCTGGATGCATCTCAGCGCGTTAGTGTTTAATAGGTTGGATGCGTTTTTTTGCGTTACTGTTTGCGTTGCTATGGCGTGATTACACACTGCGAGATGTGCAATCTTTTCGGCAGCCATCCGAATCTGTGCAGCTCGCGCTTTCTAAGCGGTTAATACTGTTTCTGACGTTTGATTTTGCGCTCTGACTTCAGTGCTGTGTTTTTTGTGCGACTTTTGCAGGCATTGGACAAGATCAGGTTCGAGAGCCTCACTGACAAGAGCAAGCTCGATGCGCAGCCTGAGTTGTTCATCCACATTGTGCCAGACAAGGCTTCGAACACGCTCTCCATCATCGACAGCGGCATCGGCATGACCAAGTCCGACCTCGTCAACAACCTCGGTACCATCGCCAGGTCCGGGACCAAGGAGTTCATGGAAGCCCTTGCTGCCGGCGCTGATGTGTCCATGATTGGCCAGTTCGGTGTCGGTTTCTACTCTGCCTACCTCGTCGCCGAGAGAGTTGTCGTGACCACCAAGCATAACGATGACGAGCAGTACGTGTGGGAATCCCAGGCGGGCGGGTCGTTCACTGTGACTCGTGACACGTCCGGGGAGCAGCTTGGCAGGGGAACTAAGATCACACTGTTCCTCAAGGACGATCAGGTATGCTGGAAGCTGGATCAATCAAAGCTCGTTATTATGCTATCTGTTGCAATGCATGATGTAATCATGTTCTAGTTGCATAATCCAAGTATGCCTGTGTTTTGTCTAGCTGTCCTTTAACTATCGTGTACAACTGATACTGATAGTACTACAGGGCTTCTGGTTACTAGGAATTGTTCTTTTTTGATACTAGACTAGATAGATTACTGTTATGCCTGATGCTGTCTATCCGTCCTAAGATGGTAAAGTTTGAGAAATATAGGCTTGTGCTGATGTAGACTTATCCGCAAATCACCACTTGTTTTGGATCATTAAGTTGACCCCAAATTTGCTAAAATGAAAAATGCCATCTCCACCTCACTAATTTATGGGGGAGGGGGATGAACTTAAATGGCATCCACTATCATTTAGTTAGCTGATCTGAAGTAAGCCATGGGTAGAAAACTTGCATTCCCATGTATAATATTTGGGGTGTCGTTTCTTATAGCTTACTTGGCTTATCTACATTTACCTTGATATCCCATCATATATACATATCAGGGAAACAGTTCAACACGCTCTTCTGCAAATTGTGATCTTAATTATAAGCCAACTTTCTTATCAGTGAGATGTTTCCCTGCAAATTAGCACTTGCATACCGAACGCAGCATCCAAGTTTGTTTAATATTTGTTAAAAACTGTGATACATAGGGGGGTATTTTGGGATATGTTAACTTTTATATGCTTGCTTTTCTGTATTCATTGTAACATAAACTGTGAACTATCACTGTCTTAAATGGAGTAATATCAAGGTTTGATCTATACCTGCACCATGATATTAGAGTTGTGGCTATAGTGTTCTGTGCCTAGCTGAGTTTGACATGTAAAATGTCATTGTAATCGGGGTACATATTTTTTGAACTGAGAGATTTGTGCCTTAATTTTTGGGTATACATATTTTCCTCTGCTGTCCATAATGTTTATAATACAATGAACTAATTTTTATAGTTATATGATTGTATTCTTCTTTGTGAATTGGTAATGTTTATTTTTCTGCTTGTTTTGCTATATTCATTGTGTAGTATATTCTCTCTTAAGATTATTCTCCTGTCGATTGCCTCATTGATGCTTAAGTAACATGTTTGCTTGTTCTGTGTAATGAAGTGAAGTGATTTGTTGTAAAACCTGCTGGTGTTGCTTGAACTCACCTTTCAACTTCTCTCTTGCAGTTGGAATACCTTGAGGAGCGGCGCCTTAAGGATCTGGTCAAGAAGCACTCTGAGTTCATCAGCTACCCCATCTCCCTGTGGACTGAAAAGACAACGGAGAAGGAAATTTCTGATGACGAAGATGAGGAAGAGAAGAAAGATGCTGAGGAGGGCAAGGTTGAGGATGTTGACGAGGAGAAGGAAGAGAAAGAAAAAAAGAAAAAGAAAATCAAGGAGGTTTCTCATGAGTGGTCATTGGTCAACAAGCAGAAGCCCATCTGGATGAGGAAGCCAGAAGAGATCACGAAGGAAGAATATGCTGCCTTCTACAAGAGCTTGACAAATGACTGGGAGGAGCATCTGGCTGTGAAGCACTTCTCTGTGGAGGGTCAGCTGGAGTTCAAGGCTGTTCTCTTTGTTCCTAAGAGGGCCCCCTTTGATCTCTTTGACACCAAGAAGAAGCAAAACAACATCAAGCTCTATGTGCGCCGGGTGTTCATCATGGACAACTGTGAGGAGCTGATCCCTGAGTGGCTGAGCTTTGTTAAGGGTATTGTTGACTCTGAGGACCTTCCCCTCAACATCTCTCGTGAGACTCTTCAGCAGAACAAGATCCTGAAGGTGATCCGCAAGAACCTCGTGAAGAAGTGTGTTGAGCTCTTCTTTGAGATTGCTGAGAACAAGGAAGACTACAACAAGTTTTATGAGGCTTTCTCCAAGAACCTCAAGCTTGGCATCCATGAGGACTCGCAGAACAGGAGCAAGATCGCTGAGCTTCTGAGATACCACTCCACCAAGAGCGGTGATGAGCTGACCAGCCTCAAGGACTATGTGACCAGGATGAAGGAGGGACAGAACGACATCTACTATATCACTGGTGAGAGCAAGAAGGCAGTGGAGAACTCCCCCTTCCTGGAGAAGCTGAAGAAGGGGGGCTACGAGGTCCTGTACATGGTTGATGCCATTGACGAGTATGCTGTTGGTCAGCTCAAGGAGTTTGAGGGCAAGAAACTTGTTTCTGCCACCAAGGAGGGTCTGAAGCTTGATGAGACCGAGGACGAGAAGAAGAGGAAGGAGGAGCTGAAGGAGAAGTTTGAGGGGCTGTGCAAAGTCATCAAGGAGGTCCTTGGTGACAAGGTTGAGAAGGTGGTGGTGTCTGACCGCGTTGTGGACTCACCGTGCTGTCTTGTCACTGGTGAGTACGGCTGGACGGCCAACATGGAGCGGATCATGAAGGCGCAGGCTCTGAGGGACTCGAGCATGGCGGGCTACATGTCGAGCAAAAAGACTATGGAGATCAACCCGGAGAACCCAATCATGGATGAGCTCCGCAAGCGTGCCGAGGCTGACAAGAATGACAAGTCAGTCAAGGATCTCGTGATGCTGCTGTTCGAGACCTCTCTTCTGACCTCGGGCTTCAGCCTGGACGACCCCAACACCTTCGGCACCAGAATCCACCGCATGCTCAAGCTCGGCCTGAGCATCGACGAGGATGAGTCGGCTGAGGCTGATGCCGAGATGCCCCCGCTGGAGGACGACGCCGGCGAGAGCAAGATGGAGGAGGTCGACTAAGCATCGGATGCTTGTCGTTTATCCTTAGTTACCTGTCATCTTGAGCCTGACCTGTGATCATCTTTCGAGGATTTTGGCACGTTATCGGTTGTCCTGCTGGTTTAGTTGTTATGGTACTCTGGTTTAACAGTTTGTCGTTATCCGTAATGCTACTAGTATAGTACATGTTCTACGTGCCGTTCTGTCTTTGCGTTTTTTAATTACTATATTTTTTTCGAGTTTTTTTTACTACTATAATGGCTCGAGTAGGCTTTGTTTTCTTTAGTAAAAAATGCTCGATTTGTTTCGACTGGACTCGGCGTTTTAGTATACTAATAAAAATTGCTCAACCAAAATGTGTTTAGAAAATAGGGCTCGTCATGTTCAAAGCAGAGTTACTATATCCTGAGTTCCTGACACTGTTTGTGAACGCAACCAAGCATTGGTATCACCAAGTAGGACATACAAAACCATAATATAAGGGTAGCATATGATAAAAACATACTATGTGCTCCTAATCACGTGGACTCACCAATTCAATAGTAGATGTATCCTGGTTGGTGCCTTATATTTGGACAAACGCAAGATGAAACAACGCTGAGCGGAAATGATTCATAGCGCACGGCACTAGATGTATCTCAACCATAGCAGGTCAGTGAGTCCAAGTTACTTGTCAACTTCTAAGGTGCTTCTCAAACGTTTCACATCCATAGTCCATACATATTACAGGGATGCAGAGGCAAAGTTTCAAAAAAAAAAAAAACAGTAAAGATGTTTCATTTAACTCCGCCTATGGTGGGGCGTCTTTGGTGTCCCAGCATAGCAGGTCCCAAGCCCTGGTAAAGGAGGAGGGTTGTGTTAGGCGTGGCGAGCCAATGTAAAAACTTAGCCACTTTAATGGAGATGAAACCGAAAAGAAAATCGTTAGGGGCGTAACCCTCTTAGCGCGCAGCGCCATATCGGAAACGGGTATGGTGTTAAATGGGCAAGGGCCGGGTCGTCACCCCGTGACGCTACGTGTCGTGATCTGGGCATGGTGTCAAGTGAGCAAGGATCGGGTCGTCGCTTCTTTAGTGGTAGCGCTACATCGGCGCCGGGTGTAGTGAAAAATGAGCAAGGGTCTTAGATATCGAGTCGACGGGTGCGAAGGGTAAGAAGCTAGTCGAACCAACTATGATCCGTTTAGGTAGTTGGAATGTATGGTCACTTACAGGTAAGTTAAGAGAATTAGTTGATACCGCAATGACTAGGAGGCGTGTAAATATATTATGCGTTCAAGAGACTAAATGGAAGGGTCAAGGCGAAGGAGGTGGACAATCTGGTTTCAAGCTTTGGTACAATGGGGACGGTCATGTTGAATAGAAATGGAGTAGGAGTTTTGATTGATAAGAGCCTCAAGAATGGTGTGGTCGGAGTGAGAAGGCAAGGAGATAGGATTATCTTAGTCAAGCTTGTCGTTGGTGATATGGTCTTGAACGTAATTAGTGCGTATGCCCCCCCCAAGTAGGCCTCGGACGAGAGTGCTAAGAGACGATTCCGGGAAGACTTAGATGGCACAGTTAGAGCTATACCTAGTAGTGAGAAGCTTTTTATAGGAGGAGATCTTAATGGGCATGTAGGTACTACAAGCTTGAGTTTCGAGACAGTTCATGGAGGTTTTGGGTATGGTAGTAGGAATCGGGAGGGGAGGAAGTTCGGACTTCAAGCGGTAGCTTTTGACGATGATAGCCAACACTTTCTTTAGAAAGAGAGAATCTCATCTAGTGACCTTGATGAGCGGGACAACATCAGAAGCTTGATTGACTTTGTCCTCGCAAGAAGAAAGGACAAACGAGCATGCTTGGATTGCAAGGTGATACAGGGGGAGTGTGTTGTTTCTCAACATAAACTTTTGGTGGCAGATTTTCGTTTTCAATTTGCGTGTCTGAGGGATAAACAAGTAAACAAGCTAAGATTCAAAGAACAAAGTGGTGGAAACTGAAAGGGGAGACGTCAGAGGTATTTAGGGAAAAGGTTATCAAAGAGGACTCTTGGAAGGAAGAAGACGACATAAACAACATGTGGGAGAAGATGACAACCAACATTCGGAAGGTGGCCTCAGAGGTGTGTGGAGTAACCAAAGAAAGTGGAGGCGAGGCTAAAGATACTTGGTGGTGGAACGAGGAAGTCCAAAGGGCTATTAAGGAGAAGAAAGAATGCTATAGACGCTTGTACCATGATAGGAGTGTGGACAACATAGAGAAGTACAAGGTGGCAAAAAAGACTGCAAATCGAGCTGTAAGTGTGGCAAAGGGTAGAGCGTACGAGGATCTTTACCAACATTTGAGTACGAAGGAAGGAGAGAAGGACATTTATAGGATGGCTAGGGTTCGTGAGAGAAAGACACAGGACTTCAACCAAGTTAAGTGCATTAAGGATGAAAGGGAGCATCTCTTGGTGAAGGAGGATGAGATCCGACATCGATGGCAAGAGTATTTTGATAAATTGTTCAATGGTGAGAATATGGACACAACCTTTTAGTTAGATGACTCTTTTGATGACACCAATAGGCGCTTTGTGCAGAGAATCCAAGAATCTGAGGTCAGAGAGGCGTTGAAAAGGATGAAAGGAGGTAAGGCAATGGGACCAGATGGTATCCCAATCGAGGTGTGGAGATGCCTTGGGGACATAGCTATAGTATGGCTAACCAAGCTGTTCAACCATATTTTTCGATCGAACAAGATGCCTGATGAGTGGAGGAGAAGTATATTGGTACCGATCTACAAGAATAAAGGGGATATTTAAAGTTGTACTAATTATCGGGGAATTAAGTTGATGAGCCATACTATGAAGCTATGGGAGAGAGTTATCGAGCATCGCTTGAGAGCAATAACTTTGGTCTCTGTGAACCAATTTGGTTTCATGCCGGAAGGTCAACCATGGAAGCCATTTTCTTAATAAGACAAGTTATGGAGCGGTATAGGGAGAAGAAGAAGGACATACACATGGTTTTTATTGACTTGGAGAAGGCTTATGATAAAATACCAAGGAATGTTATGTGGTGGGCTTTGGACAAACATAAAGTCCCAACGACGATCACGTCGGGCTCATTAAGGACATGTACAACAATGTTGTGACTAGAGTTCGAACAAGTGATGGAGACACGGATGACTTTCCGATTAGGATAGGACTACATCAAGGATCAGCTTTGAGCCCTTATTTGTTTGCTTTAGTGATGGATGAGGTCACAAGGGACATACAAGGGACATCCCTTGGTGTATGCTTTTCATGGACGATGTAGTGCTAGTTGATGAAAGCCTGACAGAGTGAATCGAAGCTGGAGTTATGGCGGGAGACTTTGGAGTCCAAAGGTTTTAGACTCAAGCAGAACTAAAAGCTCGAGTATATGAGATGTGACTTGGCACTACTACTCGGGAGGAGGAAGATGTTAGTTTGGAAGGTCAAGTAGTGCCTATGAAGGATACCTTTCAATATTTACGATCAATGCTACTGAGAGGGGACGGGGACATTGATGAAGATGTTAGCCATAGAATCAAAGGTGGTGGATGAAGTGGTGGCAAGCGTGCCTGGTGTCCTATGTGACAAAAAGGTACCACGAAGCTAAAAGGCAAGTTTTATAGGACGGCGATTAGACCTGCTATGTTGTATGGTGCGAGAATGTTGGCCTCACTGAAAAGGCGGCATATGTTCAACAACTAAGTGTCGCGGAAATGCGTATGTTGCGTTGGATTTGCGGTCATACAAGAAGGATCGAGTTGAACGATGATATACGTGATAGATTAGGGTAGCGCCAATTGAAGAAAAGCTTGTCTAACACGGTTGAGATGGTTTGGACATGTGCAACGGAGACCCCGAGAGGCGCGCGTGCGAGTGGCATCCTAAGCCGGGATAGTAACGTGAAAGAGAGGCGAGATGAAGACCGAAGTTGACTTGGGTAGAGGCAATAAAAAGAGACTTGAAAGGATGGAATATACCCAAAGACTTAGCCTTAGATAGGAGTGCTTGGAAGACAGCTATTCACGTGCCTGAACCTTGATTGCTTCTGATGGGTTTCAACTCTAGCTTACCCCAACTTGTTTGGGACTTAAAGGCTTTGTTGTTGTTGTTGTTGTTGTTGTTGTTGATGATGTTTCATTTATTATAAGTGCAATTAAGTTAAGATGTTTATCGTTTACAAGTTTTTCTAGGCCATATCGGCATGGTTAACTGCAACTCAAATACTGTTTGTGATTACTGAACATAGAGAACAAAGAAGAATATAGCTTATCTTCGGCATGGTTAACAAGTTTTTCTAGGTCATCTTCGGCATGGTTAATAAGTTTTTCTAGGCTATCTTGGGCAATTATCAGGAATTCAGAGAACAAAGAAGAATATGATACTGTTTTGTGATTACTACTGCAACCAAAGCATCCATCAAGTCATAGATGGCATACCAAATTTCCCTGTGGCTGTCTATATGCTAAAAAATAGAATCTCCTGCCCACATGGACTAGTAATAATAATACAATTCAACAGTACATGGCTACATGTATTCCAAGACCTATTCCATGTTGGCATGCATTGTATTTGGACCAAGGTAAGGATAGAATAATATAAGAGGGTAATCTTCAAGTCACACGAGTTCAGCATGCTAGAAAGCAAATTTTAAGTGACAGAAAACTGCGTGGATACAACGGAATTATGCCAATGAGACATGCCAGAAAACACAACTCAAATATATCAACTTCAAATTGCTTGCTGAGTTTTCAGGTGACTAACACACATATCACTCCCACACTGTTGACAATAATGCAAAGTCAAACCTTCAAAATAAGTTTAAGGCAATAGCCTCGGAGGAACAGACAAATAATGAGCTTGTTCGGATGGTGGCTTGAACAGTGTTTTTGGATGGTTTTAGCTGAAACAAGTTGAAATAAGCCAGGACTATACCAGCCGAACGCACTGAATGTCATCAATCAAAGAGTTAAAGTATACTAAGACATCTTATTTCTTAGTTAGAATCTAGGAGGCTTCCACTTGTAAAGCATTTCACAGTTCTACAGAAGTAGTACACAAGAACGATGCAAGGACATTGCAGACCTGTACTATGGACGTTCTGTTTCTAGGTATCATCCTTTATGCAGTGCAAAGAAACAGCGGATAATTGGATATATCCTATGGGCTCCCTACGTGGCTACGTCACTTGGACTTCCAACACATCGCACTGTGCTAGAGACAGGTAACGACAAAACTTTCATAGTTGTGTACTACCATCCACATTTTTCTTGTCAAAGATCCAAATAGCTCTTCACATACTCCGTTGCTGCCTTAGGTGGCATAAAGGAAGCAAATAATGAAGCCCACAACAACACCAGAACTATCTTTGAATTTTCACTTTAAAAATTGATAGCCTTGCCGAAGCCAATCCAAACCAAGTGACCCCCGTCTCTTTTATAATTCTTTGCTCTAATCATCATGGTTTGTCCAGGTTTGACATGAACAAGGTTTGTCATAATCAAGTCTACGATAATTAAGTTACTTCTTTTCCAATGCTTAAGGCACTAAGCAAATGCACATGCCCTATCTATAAATGTATTAATGAGAGCATTGCCACGAATGCTCAAGGCATACAGATTCATCTAGCATTCACCATAGACGGAAAAGATGGGCTCACAGAGCTGTGGTTCTTGCTATGTGAAATCCATTCTGGACAGGATGAAGCCCAGATGCCTGGAAGGAAAGACGCAGCGCTGTGAGACCAGCACCAGCACAGCCAGGAGCAGGGCAGGAACAAGGCAAGACACTCTTGAAGACATCATGTATTCTCCACAGAGCATCGAAGGCGATGCACTTGGGGTACCATCTCCTCGGAGGCATTCTCCAAAGGTCTGCCCACTTAACATGGACTGCTCTTACGAGAACAACTCTCCAAATGTCAGGGAGAGCTTCTCCATTGATCGAATGTCCATGAGGAGCCAAAACAGTGTTGTCAGGAGGGTTAGCTTCAGATCGCCTGATGAATCTGATGTCTTCATCATCCCAGCGCGCAATGATCCTGATGAGTACTCCACTGATGATGAATCCACAGAGGATGTAAGTGAAGAAATTGATCCAAAGAAACCTCATTATGTAATAACTAGATACTATTAATGTTGCTCCACTGTGCAACATCAAGATGACTAGAAGAAATGAGTAACACAGAGAAAAAAACTAGTTACTGCATAGATGGTTGCTTTATCAGGGAATATACCATATGCCACTTTAGGACTCGTCAATCATATTCCATTCCATGCAGGACTGCATGAGCATGCGTATATGCACTTTTATGTATTCCGCTGTCCAGTTCCCCAAAGTATTGTAATACACAGTTCTTCCACCTTGTTCTGGAAACTGGAGAATGCTGAGAAAAGGTTCTATGTTTTACAGATCTCCAACTTGTGCAAGTACCTTTCTCGTCAAAATGTTCAATTAGCTGTACAAAGTTCTGAACTTCTGATAGAAAATAAATAAATAAATAAATAATAATGGAATTACAGTCGAGCACACAACAGACATACCTATAAGTAGGCATCTTTTTTCTTTAACAAAATAATCAGTTCCTAATGTTAACATACATTCAGTAAATCAGGGCCAGAAAGAGAAACACCAGCTGTTCTACTTATATACACTTATCTATATTCAGATTTGAAGCCTTCTGTTAGAGCAACAACCTTCGAGTTTAGCTTAGGTTGTAGCCTGGAAACAGCCTGACGAATATCCTACAAAACATCATTTGGGTCAGATTAGTGGTGCCATTGACAATGATTTGGGTCAGATTAGTGGCCATTGACAATGATTTGGGTCAGATTAGTGGCCATTGACAATGATTTTATGGGTTGGCTACATACCTCAAGACTATATCGATTTGAGAAATGAGTGAGTACGATTGTTTCATTCCTGAACCACTGGGAATGCTCCATTATCTATACACGACATAGTGGGTGTAGGTTAGCAACTGGAGCAGTAATCATTTCTTATATTCATCAGGAGTTCCAAAAGGCTCATTGGCACGTGTAGGGAGTATCAGCACAGAAATTGTCACCTCAGAAAGATGCATGTGGCCATGTTCCCTAGCATGCTCAACATCAACATGGTCATCTAGGAACGTTGCCTGCAGAGTGTAAAACTATGTTGGTACTAAATAATAAAAAAGGCGAAGAACTTCAAATTGTTCTTCATGTTTCATATTTGAAGTACATCTGATGAATAAGATAGTGAAATTATTGTTTCATTTACAGTATGTAAGAACAAATACTGGATGTGTAAAGACAATACCTCAGTTATGAGAACCTTTGCTCTCAGGGCATCTGCATTTCTTGGGTCAATAATAAAATCAGACTTTGTATCTCCTGTGAAGGCAACTTCTGGGTACAGTATGGTATCCGTAATCTAATATTAAAGTGTGTGGTGAATACCAAGTGGGAGATATTCCTAAGCAATAGGGGCCAGTTCAAAAGTACGGCACAGCTTACCTCGGTTCCTGATTGCTTCAGTTTCATTATTTGACTACCCTTCAAATGAGCATACTGTTTTTTCAACTTTCTTCGGATAGAGTAGATGACATAACCCTTTACACCATTCACGACATGGATAATGTCAATAAGCATTAAATTGTGACCAATAACAAAAATACATGTCTGCGAGCTCTAAGGAGCAGTACCTGGCTGGGTATAGCGTGGTATGTTTGAAATGGCCTGGCAACAAGATCATTACGTATTTCATATGTCTCTCCTGAAAGAAGTTGTTGCATTATAAGGAACAAGCAAGCAGAAAACATTCAAGGCAGCAGTGAAGCAATATCCATACCCAAATCAAGTGCAACTAATTCAACTTTCAGCTCAATTTGACTCATCCTACGATGGACTTGAAGCAGATCCTCAACATCATCCCTGATGCAGGGTGGTACAAATACAGTAGGAGGCTTCAAGTTGTAGAGGCCACGGGTCGCTATGTACATTGGAAGACCACCCTGCACGATCACCATAGCAGAAATTGATGCGGTAAGCATCAATGTGCCATTGATAGTTTTATAGTTTTGTATAAGAGCTGGACTTAGCAATGGAACATGTAAACCTTAGTTATTAGAGGTGTATAAATAGGCAAAGCAAGTAAGAGCAGAATTAGAGCCTGCAAATATGAAAACAGGGCCCGTGGCGCTCACGATGTGATCGAGGTGGGCGTGGGTGATGAAGAGATAGTCCTGGCTGACGGCGAACTGCGGCCCGCGGCCGATGTCGAACGCAACGTTGAGCGACGGCACGGTGACGCAGGTCTCGTGCCCGCCCACCGAGATCCCCTCGATGGCGTACCCTTCCACCTCCACGCCCTTGCGCTGCACCTGGGCGCGCGCGCGCCGGTACTCCTCCTCGTCTGCCAGCGCGCGGTCCAGCACCGACAGAAGCCCGCCCCCCTTGCCTCCGCCTCTGCGGCTGCCGCTGGTGGCGGTGGCGGTGGAGGACTCCACTGGCTTCCTAGCGGCGAGGGTCTGGAACCGGGAGACCCGGGCGGAGGTGCGGGAGAGGACACGGAGCGACGGGAGGGAGAAGAGAGAGGCGGTCGCCATTTACGGGCTGCGAATTGGGGAGGCGGGATGAACGGTGGCGAGTCGCCGACGGCGAGCGGCGGCGCCGCGGGGGTTCTGGGTTTTGGACTTTTGGTGAGCTCCAGAGCTCGTCTGGAGGATAACGAGATGTATTCGCATCGCAGCCCCTGTATTGTTGCAATATCTGCTAGCCTCGCTGCAGCTGAGCGCAGAGGCAATATCCGGTGAATTATTAGTGGAGAAAAATGCCAACAATCAAGCAAAAAGTGACAATCAGGGAAAGTAGAGCTCGTTCTTAAAAATAAAAACAAGGAACGGCAAGTCGGCAACTTGATATGATGACTGATCATATGATACTCCTTCGTTTTCAATTGTAAACTATTTAAGTTTTATCATAAATAAAATTTGTTAATTTTATTTTATTCAAGCTTGTAGAAATATATATTACCCTCTATAATATCAAATAAATGCATTATCAATATGTATTTAATAGTGTTTTATCTAATGAATCTTGTTTTGTTGTTGCAGATGTTTGTAGTATTTTTTGATAAACTTAGTCAAATTAGACAAGTTTGGCTTAGGATAAAGATAAAATGATTTGCAATTTAAAATGGAGAAACTAGAAGCGAAATACAATTAAAATTATAAAACTAAATTATTATATACAGCCGCTTGGTTGCTATTTATTTGGAAGGATCGTACGTGCATTACAGCTATGTACATCACCTGTTAAGTTCAAACTTTATTCTTTTTAAAAGTGCTGGCAGGAATTCTGCCTATCTTATATTCATAGACAGAGAAGTGAAGCAAAATAAGTCTGATCATGAGGCTGAAAACAAAAAAAAAGGGTGATCTCCGGAAAAACTGAAAGATATATGTAGATACATGGTAAAAATTATGTACCTAAAAAACTGAATAGCTTATAATTTGGGATAGAGGAAATAGTAGTACCTAAACAATTCCACTTAGAGGCTACTGAATGGCTCCTATCTGTTGATTACATACATACATACATACATAGTTATTTACACATTTTTAAAAACAATACACTACGACGAATAGCGTTACTATTTACAGGAATTTTACACTAGTTATCGGTGGCTGCCAAGTTTTGGCAGACCCAACCAGCAAACTAACTTCATGTGACAAATCTTCGTTGGTCTTAGACTCTTGGACAGGAGACAGAACCTCTGGCTCAGTGAAGGCAACATTGCAGCTAACAATCATTCTTGAGTAAGAAGTGAGGACACATGCATCTATGACGGAGAACCCCTTGATGATGGGCAGCTGGAAGCCTTGCTCGAGATATGAGTTCACATAAGGTACAAACAAAATTTTCAGCAAAATCCTCAGCACAGTCTGCAAGCATAACAACATTCATATACTATTAGACAGGCAACATATGAAGTTCAATGCAAGATATCAAAGCAATCCTGATATGAAGCTCAATGCAAGATATCAAAGCAATCCTGAAATTTAAGTGCAATTCAACAAGCCATGATACTTGTTCATATATTGAGTTAAACGACAATGCTCCATGCTGCCAAAACTACAGTGCGTAGCATTTGGATTTAGAAACATTGCAGCCTATGATGGCATCATCAACCTCTATAACAGTATTTATTGGAGTACAAAAAGTTATGGTGTTTCAATTAGTTAGTGATCTCCAATATCTACTGGACTGCCAAAAATAATTGTATCTGCAATTTCCAATACCTACCCACTTGCCCGAGTAACTGATCTCAAAGCTGAATTGTGCTTAAGGGGTGTGCTGCACGCAATGTAAGGCCCTGCCCCTAGGATCAAAATAGGAAAAAGCAAAAAAAAAAAAAAAAGGTTAAGCAGAACCACCTGCACTAGACTGGTGTGGAGTTTGCCAACTTTGCTCCACTTCAAGGTAAATGAGAAATAATCCAATTCCACTCTTCCAACAAGATTATTCTCTGATACCGCTGCAGCTCCAGAAACAGCAACCGACTACAGAAGCAAAGGCCATTTTCAGTAACTACAACAGTACATGTTGGAAAACTGGACAGAGCATGCATTTTCAAGAAGATACAAAAAAGTAGAATATAATAAGACCTCCCTATAAAATTAATCGACAATATGTCGAGCACAATCACAAAGAACAGTTTAATTGGGAAAACATAAACATGCATAAAATATTTAGTTTCATTGAAAATTCTCATGGAGTGAAAAGCCTGAGATGCTTGAGCCTAACACAAAACAATATTACTGTCAGATTGCGGATTCCAGAAGCTGCAACATAATGCCACTCCAAATGGATTATTTTGTTGCTTGAGTGGCTTAACTAAGTCGTTCAAGCAAAGATGGATAGAATCTCACCACTGATATGCATGCAACTGGAACTATCTCACCAAAATCCAAGACATTAACTGTGACATCTAAGTCAACCGTGGCATCAATTCTACCCACATTAATCCTCACAGAGGGAGGCGAAACTGCAGAGATATTCAGTAGTATATCATCGTCAGGATACTCTCGATACAATCGAGGAACCAAAAATCTCCAGCTAGCAGTGTTCAAAAGAAACTGTTCAGGAACCTTGTCCACCATCCGTTGCAGCAAACCAGCCTGAATGATCAAAAGTGTAGTATCAATCAGAATATAAGAATTACAGTTCAAAAACGAAAAAATGGTAAAGGTCGAAGTCCACAGCTCCACATTGACAGTTAAGAAAATATTGTGCTTGTGACAAAAGAAAAGGAGCGTTTACTTTACTTGTCAAGAAAAATAACAGGTTCGTTTATGAATTATATCAAATGAATTAGAACATACCTTGAAGTAGAGAGCTGAAACGGAGTTGAAAACATCTTCATCCAATGAAATCCAAAGCATTCTCGAGGAGCTCCCGAGAGGTAATGCAAATTGGGTATCTCCAAGAAGCATGTGTAACACCCTCGGTGTTACACCCTAAATCATTTACTAAAACGTGTCATGAACATCATGTTTACGTGTTAATGCATGTGATAGAATGTGTAGATAAATTTTTTGTAACTTAAAATGATCAATAAAAATGTTAAATGAAAGTTGACTCGATAATTCATGCATAACAAGTAGGGTTTAAAACCAATTTTTATTAAGCAAAAATGTTGTAGAACATGTGTGTGATACTTAAATAAAGTTTGAAGTGCAAACTTCATAGATTACAATAAAATACTTGCTGTAGAAAAATAATGTTACTAGCTAGTATTTCTAATAGTCTAGAAACGGAACTTGAAAACAAATCCAGCTGAAAAACTTAGAAAATTTCCAAGTCTGTCAACAGCTAGACATTGCTATGTTTAGCAAATTATTTTGAAAGATTGGGTTAAGGGGTGGTGTAGTGTTATAGCTCGATTTGGTAGTCTCATATGCCATCTTGAGCATGGTGGAGATAGTTTGGCTCCTGGAGCAATCGTTTAGTCGTGTTGGGCGCTTTAAAATTCGTGCGCGTCACCTATCTCGGGTTGGTTGGTGTGTAGTGTCGGTCCTGTGTGCTGCCTCCCCACCCGCAAGACATGGTCGCATCTCGCGCGGTCACCCTGCGCCCGCCCACGTTGGGTCGGTCGGGGCCGCTGGCTTGGCCAAGCTGGCCTTGCAATGAGCCAGCCGCCTGCGCGCTGTTGCTTGACCCGCCATGGCTGCCGCCATTGGTGCCGCCGCATCCGCCCACTGCTGCCTCATGTCGCGACGCTGCCGCTGCCGTCATGTCACTCCCATACTCGCGTCTGCTCGCTGCATCGCGTTGCCCCCTCCCTGGCCCGGTTGGGTGCCGTCCGCGACGCCGCCGCACGCCGCCGTCGTCGCGCTTATTAACGGGCGCTGGCTAAGACGGGTTATGGGCCGATCGTGGACGCGCGCGCCGTCCCCTCGTGCTTGGACGTAGGTCCTCGCCCACAACCGCGCGCGCCCCGCCAAGGCGAGGACGAACCGAGCCCACTGCGCGCGCCTCGCTTTCTCTCTTTCTCCTCTCGCTTTTCATAGTCGCCGAAGTCGCGGTCACGGTGAGCCAGAGAGCGAGCACCTCTCATCAATTCCTTGTGCCCGCGTCTCCGCCTTTACGTCCTCTTGCCGACCGCCCCCACCCCGCCTTGATTACGGCCAGGCCGAGCTCCAATTTTGGAGCTTTGCTTCCGCCGCCGCGCCATTAAGGCCCAGCTTGCCTCACCGTGGGCAGCTCCAACCTCGCCATCTTGCGTCGAATTGACCGCACCACTAGCCCCGCCTAGAACCCCTCTTTGTCGTGCGCACGCTAGTCGGAGCTCTAGTACCGCCTCCTCGCCGCTGATGCGGCCGTGCCTTTGCGGTCCGCCATTCACCTCGCAGCGCGCACGTGGCCAGCCTCGCTCGGGTCGTCTCCGGCCGAGCCGGCATCTCAGTTAGGTCACTGGTGAGTCGTCGTTGCTCATCCGCTACCCCTACTACCTTGTTGTTGCTGTGGCTCACCAGAACGTCGTCGCCTTTGCCGCAGGGTGCCCGCCGTCGTGGAGAGGTCCTTCTACGGCATCCCGGCTCGTGCAACCGCCGCCCATCGCCTCGCGTCGACCCCCTTGGTGAGATTCGGCCTCTTAGCTTGGTTAGCATGGGTCCTGGGTGCCTGGCGCTGTCGCCAGTGCCACCGCTTGCTGCGCCGGAGCGCGCGGGGGAGGCCAGGGACCATGCCGTTGTAAAGAGGAGAGAGTACAAGGGTCTTTTTGCATAGGTGTTGTCTCTAGGAATAGTAACATGGACTGCAGGTTGTTTTGTTCATAGTACAGGGGCGTTTTCGGTTATATGTCATGTGTACTGGATTTTCTCGCCATGGGCCATCTCTCTCAGGCGAGCCTGCATGCCTTGTGGCCAGGCCACATGCCAGCATTATTCGTCGTGCGTGGGGCGTGTGTGGGCCGCGCGGGAGAATTCGATTTTCTTTTTCATAAGGAATTAGAAATAGTTTTCTAATATAATTTTTGAGCTGATCTTTGGTAAATTATATAAAATCATGTAGGTCTCCAAAAATTGTGAAACAAATTTTGTTAAGTTCCTAAAATTGTGCTCTATCTGTTAGTGTATTTAGTTCATATATGTACATGTTGATACCAGGAGCTATTAAATCATTTGAGAGTGCTTCATATTACTAGGTTAAATATTGTAGGAATTTTGATGGTAAATTATGATAGCTTTAATCCTGAAATTTTTATGGTAGTTTTCTTGTATTATTATGTGCTCCCTGTAATTTTTGTAGCCCTAAAATAGGCTAAGCACTAGGATAGTTAGGTGCACCTTGTTATAATATAAGTTAAATCGCTAATAAAAGTAAGATTACATTTTAGTTGCTAAGTTAATAACTGTTAGGTGAATCCATATCTGTTTTGGTGGAAATGATAGGTAGTTAGTATCTTAGTCATTAGAGCTAGCTTAGTAGCTTATAATGTGTATTCTTATTTTAAGAGTTGCTGTTGCCAAAATACTAAGTGTTGCATCATCATTGCATGTATGTAGAGAACGAGTTGGTAGAGTTCATGACCGCCGGAGAGCAGGAGTACGAGGAGGTGATCGAGGAGTACGAGGAGGAGGTTCTCGTACAGGAGGAAGCCTCGGAGCCACCGACGACTGACATAGTTGACAATCCGCCTGCCCAAGGCAAGCCCCGGTGCATAACCCTTATTTTGAATAATCACTGATATATATATGTGATGTGCATTTACGTTATATGATTTATATTGAAACACATGTATAAATAAACCTACCTATGAGTCCTACTAGCATAGGTCGAGTAGTTGCTATGCTTAGGCTATCGGTAGCGTGAGTAACCTGCCATTATTCACAATACGTGATTATTATTATTACTCTCATGATAAAATAGTGAACGGAAATGGAGACCGGGCATGGATATGGTATGGGTATTGGTGGGTGTAATAGGTTGTGTCCCACGGCCAACGGGGCATAGCTTGGTTACACTGTTTTCCATGTCCGTGTCGGTTAAGGACCGTCCGTTGCTGTGGATGGTAGTCAGGTCACAGACTTATTATCATGAGCACATACTTGCTTATGGGAGCAGGAAGGCTCGTTGCTCTCTTGTCGTGGGTTCCGGCTCTTTCCGGACCGACTGATTGGAGACGGAGATGGTGGAGATCTAAGCACCACACTGAGTCCGGAACTCAGGAGTGGGGGCTTGGAGTCCAAGTTTGGACGGGGACCTGGACCCCTTGACATGAGAGTGGTGGGTTGGTCTTGCTTGTGCCTGGGGTACAAGCGGGGCGTCTGTTTCGGGGTATCCAACTGGGATACATTGGTTCGCGAATCGCCGTGTGATACGGTACAACTTGACTATGATCTAGCACCGTAGTAATAACTGGAAGATGAAAGATGGTGAAATGGATCTGATTGCTTAACTCTTGCTTGAAAGTAGAAACATGTGCTTACATAGAATGGTTAGCTAATGAACTAATTATGACTACTAATAAAACACATACATAAGGATTCACTACTAGTAATGCTTTTTGCAAAAAGAAAACCCAGCAGACCATAAAGCTTATCATATCCTTTAGAGTCGGGAAATTATTCCCACTAGTCGGGTAAGTCTTGCGAGTACATTGTGTACTCAGGGTTTATTTACCCCTGTTGCAGGTACAGCTTGAGGAGTGGCTGCTGTGTGGAGGATTCTTCTGATGGACACAGACGGATCCTTGTATCTTATCGTTAGATGTTTATTTCAATTCCGCTGTTTAAATTCCGCACTCTGAACTTAGTATTGTAATAATGTATTTCCGAGAACTCTTGTTGTATGAAATGAGCTAAGTATTGTAAATTCATTCTTATTATTGGATCCTGGATAAAAAACGTGGATTGTTCGAGTTCTCCCTTGGGGTATGCTCGACGAAACCATCCAATATAGCCAACTTTCGGGATGCTTAGTGTCTGGTGGAAGACGAGCGTCTCCGAAAACGTGCTATTTCGGACGGTTCTGCCATAGCATGTCTCTGGGAGCAGCTTCATCCGATGGAATAAATAAGCCATCTATATCAAACTCAACAGAGGAGCTCTTGAATAGTGGATCATTAACAAAAGTCACATTCATTGCAGCAACGCTATCAAGATCAATTTTCTTTGGAAGGTTTCCCAGGAAATAGTCAAGCTTCAGTGCACCTTCCATTACTTTGTTCTTAATTGTATTTTCCACCGATGATCTGATATGATTACTGAAACTATCTATAAACCTACAAACAGTAAGCAGAAGCAACATCTCACACATGTCCTCATCAGATTCAAGTAAGATGCACAGTAAAATTCATTTAAAAATAAATCAGGTTGGTTCACTTCAGGAACAAATGGAAGTACTCAAGAGGATTCTACAGAATTTTCTATCTACTGTAACAACAAATGAAAGTAAAATGAGGTTGAGATGCAAAGATATGTGCATGATTTCCACTTCTTGCTGACAAAGGAAAATCCAATTTACTGAGTGCACCCTCAAAGGAATTAACAACATTGTGCATATACAACAAATCGAGAACCACATACACTTGATAGAACCAAGATGCTCCTCCATTTAGTGTTATGTCTAAGTCCTCCATATAACAGCTACATTCTGTAACAGACAGCTTGATAGATCCATTCTGATTCTTCATGACCATGGAAACACCAACCTCCATTCCTTCAACCTTAGCAAAAAGTATCTATGAATACACCTTGTACCTTCATATACATACATGTGAAAAATGTCTAGTATGTAGAATACAGTTGAAGTTACAGGATGTATAAGAACAGATGGGCAAGGTGCTAAGAATAGTAACGACATAAACTCTGAGTCCAGTTAACTTAGCTGCTTGTACTTGTTTCAACATTACGGTTTCGAAAAGTACACGTAAGTGAGATCTTTTGCATTGCTGAACAACCAGCTTGTTACTGAAAAACTGTCACTATCTAGGTGCCTTCTATAATTCAGTTTTTATATACTCATAAAACTATCACTGGGCTGAAATGTTTGTCAAATTTTATCTTACAGGACAGATTACAGACTGTCACCTTGGACTGAAGCTAAGTATAACATTATGCTGCTAACTATACTCCCTCCGTCCCGAATTATTTGCATTTCTGAGATTGGGCACGGCAACCAAAACGGATGGAAAATTACCAAAATACCCCTATAAATATAGACCGGTTGCAGTGGTGGACAGATGTGCGGAGGCAAGGGAGTTCTCCAGTACGGCAGCCATTTTATTACGCCAGGATGGGTCACGCAGCCCCCAGCAGCTTCTGGATGGGGCCGATGGAGCCGCCGTTGATTTTTTTTTTGTTTTTAGTTTGTTTTTATTGTTTTGGTCTGACACACTGGCGCTGTGCGGCTGTCTAGCGCTGCACTGCTCTGGTGGTTCCTGCCACTGCTGCATGCTCCGCCGGGTTCAGTGACCGATTAATATGGGAAAAATTTTGAACCCAAACGTGCAAATAAACTGGGACGGAGGGAATAATTTGCAGTGTCTCATTTCATGAGAATGTGCTCATAGAAACATGGTAGACCTCCAAGTGGAGGTCCTGGTTCTCACAAAAAAGGCCATTGATGTCTTTCCCCCATGGCTGTGGCATGGTGGGTAGTAGCGGGCTCTCAGTTCGGGGCTTTCACTCCACCTTAAGCGCCACGTCTTCTGGACGTGTGCTGAGTGTTTTTTTATATTACCTCATATTTCGTAGAAGCATACTCCCATCGTCCCAAAATAAGTGCACATCTCGCTTCTCGAGGAGTCAAACATTTTAAAGTTTGACTAAGTATATATAAAAAATAATCATATTTATGATGTGTAACAAGTATCATTAGATTGACATTAGAACATACTTCCATAATAAATTTATTTGGAGATACAAACATTGATATTATTCTCTATGTGCTTGGTCAAATTTAAAAGGGTTTGACTTCTCGAAAACCAGATGTGCACATGGAGGGAGTAATAGACACTAAAGAAGGCACATAGGTAACCACTCTGTTTTGTCTTTACTTACAAGGTACTCGTATACCATCTGGAGAGCTGAAGTACCTTCAGCACCACTCAATTTGGCAGCATCATGGATTTCAGTACCTTCTCAGATGATTGATTCTACTTCTGACAGAAAATAGATAATCCAAAATTCAAGTGTTGCACGATCAGTCTCTACTTAATAACAAACCGATGCGTATATCTCCTACTCAGTATATTAAAAAAACGGCCAGTATCATATGATTCAATTAACAGCTACCAATCAGCAAGCCACGTCCGGGGGAACATAACTGATGGAATATCAGCCAAACAGGAGTCCCATTTATACCTGGATCGAAGCATTCCCGCTGTCGGATATGGTCAGTTGGTCACAATCCAGGCGCTGTACGAGTAGTTCCACTCCATAGTGAGGTTCGCGCTGGCCAACGAGGCGGCCACGACAACACCCGTGTCCCCGACAGCGACGGTGGAGTTGGTGACGGCGAGGCCGTCGAGCAAAATCCCGGATGCGGCCATGCGGACGGTGCCCACAAGGGGGATGCTCATGGTCCTCTCGATGTCCGGCACGTTCAGGGGCGTGAGGGTCGCGACGGCATGGGACACGAGCAGGTCCTTGGCGAAGTCGAGGCCCGACTGCGAGATGACGACGGAGATGTGTGACGACGCGACCGCGGGGGAGGAGGCGGTGAACAGCTGGAGGGTGACGAGAAGGGGGAGGAGGAGAGGGGTCCCCATGGCGGTGAGGAGGTTAGCCACTGCCTTAGGACCCTAGGTTTGGGGAGATGGTGGCTGAAGCGGGGGTGGCGTAAGGGGGACGAAGACAAGCGCTGCGGCGTTATGGAGGTGTCGAGCTCGCGGCGGCTTTGAACGGTCTTCTTCTCCTGGTTCGTTTGGGGAGAGACGTGGGGCGTAAAGACGGCAACGGGCCCGATACCCGATACCCGATACCGACGGTTATTAAGGCGGGATGGGATCATATCTTTACTCGTGGATATTTAAATGGACAAGAATCCATACCCGATAGGTATAGCGGGTACGGGAACGTTCCCTGTTTACCCGTCCCCGTTACCCGTTGGGAAACCCGACTATTTGATCTGTCATGCGAGTATTAGGTCAAAAAAAACTCAACATAGGTATTTTGCCCAAATCTGAACAATCATATATATAGTTTGTGTATTCTAGGAATCATAGTTCAATTTTTCCTCACCATCTCCGCCAGCAGCACAAGCACGCCTACCTCATGAGCGCTCGTGCCCCTCGCTTCCTCAGTTAGGTCTCTCTGCCACCTTTGCTCGTCCTCCTCGTAACCTCGCTCCTTCTCCTTAGCATCTCCGAGACTCCGACACTTATACCGGGTGAAGAAGAAACGTCTCCGATTGCAAAGCTGCGACCTCAAGTGTTCTTGTTTATCGGGTATGCAGTACCCATCGGGTATCTGTTACCCGACCGATGCCCGACGGGTATGGGGATGGACAAAAATCTATACCCGAGACAGTTAACGGGGACGGGGACGGGATGATTTCTCCGTAGCGGGGAAGAGAACGTTCCGGCGATACCCGACGTGTATATCCCCGTTGCCATCCTTAGTGAGGCGGGTTTGGTTTCGACATGGCTGACGTGGCCGTGGGCTAGGCCGCATCATCACCTACTCACTGAGACCGTCTCCAACAGGGTATGCATCATGCTATCCATACCCAAAATGTATCGTTCACAGGGAAAAAACACCCTCAAACAGACTACGCAAACGGAATACCTATTTTGCGTCCATGGTGAGAGGGAACCCAAAACTGCATCGCCTTTTCCCCGCTCTCCTCCGACGCCGCCATCTCCCCGCACTTCTCTCCCGCGCTCGTGAATGCCGGCGGCGGCGCGCTGGACCTGTCCTTCACCTCCACCGCCTCCGCCTCCACCTCCTCCTTCACCACCGCCACCACCTTCAGTGCACGGAGCTCGCTGTCGCTGCCGTCCTTCTCCTCCTCCACATCGTTCTCCTCGTGCCCGTACTCCTCCTCCGTGTCCCCGCACTGGGCGCACCTCGCCGCGGCGCGCGCCGCCACGCCCGACGTCATGCTCCGCCTCTCGCGTACCTCCACCTCGTCGGCGAGCTCGGCCACGGGCACCTCGCGCGCGTATTCCTCTAGCAGTGGGGTTCGCGCGCCAGCGTGGTGTCGACGCCGCCGGCGGGGGGGCAGCAGGGCACCGCGCCTCGGCGGCGTTCTTCGCGAGCTCCGACGGCGGATCGAGGCGGTACGAGGCAGATCGAGGCGGATCGAGGCACATCGAGGCATATGCGACGGCGTGCGGCCGGATCCCTCCTTCCTCGGCCAAATCCGGCATGGAGGCGAGTGAGGAGCGTGGAGGCGGGTGGCGCTCGGCGGGGAGGCGGGCGGGCGGCGCGACGGGGAGAGAGGCGGGCGGTGCTCGGGGCCTCTTTTTTGCGTTCGCTGTTGGAGTTCGCCAGTTTTGGTTGTGTGTTTTCTTTCGTTGTGCATGACCCAAACGGTGAAATAGGTTTCGTATTTGGGTCGTCTCTGTTGGAGATAGTCTAACACGTGGTCTCAGTTCATAACTGGCGCCCCTTTTTGTGAGTTGTGAATTGGGCGAAATAGTCATCCTTCAATTATTGTCTGGTGTTCAATTTTATCCCTGAATTTTTAAAATGATCATTTCAGTCTTTAAACTTTAATTCTGGCTCACTTTCATCTCATGACTATCGAGCCATAGTTCCAGTTCTTAAACTTTGCATTACGAACTCAATTTTATCCATAAACTTACTCTTGAGGAACTAGACCAAAATACATTTTGATAGTTTATCGATGAAATTGAGCTCAAAATTCAAAGGTTACAGAAATTGAGTTGTCATATTCCCTGATCCTATGGGAATTGAACACACAGGAAAGTAGATGAGGGAGCCTTTGGTTGCAGCACAGGTAAACACAAAGCTTGATGCTTCCATTTTTTTTAATCTGAACACCTACCAGTGGAGCATTCAAGCAAAGGCTGTGGTTTACTACCAGACATTTTTTTTTACATTTTTCCTATCCTATGTTCCAAAGAGACCCTAAGGATTGAGATAGTCACTTCGTAGAAAAAATTTAGCCTGAAAATAAAGTTTAAAGATTGAAATGGTCATTTTGAAAATTTAGGGATAATATTGAGCCTTGGCCTAAGAGCATCTCAAGAGTTCCTAATAAAACCTTCCAATCTATGATTTATGGCAACAATAGAAAAAAAACATCTCCAAGAGTTTTCAATACAACCTCTCAATCTTTTGGCACTTGGAAGACGCGCGTATCGGTTTGCCAATTCAAGCTGGAAGGATGTGAGAAAGAATAAAGAGTTGAAAATGATTTCTGATATAAATATACAAAAGAAAAAGAATATATAAAAGTGATTAAGATAATTTAGAAATTGTACATGATTCTTGATGTAAAATTGTCTTCTATGTTTTAGGAGTGAATTATTGAAAACTGTGGGAGATGATCTTATTTATTGCTTCCACGTTTTAGCGAGTTGGAAAACTTATGGTTTCAGGAAGAAATGATTGGAAATTATTGGAGATGCTCTTGAGATCAAAATGCATATTCCACCTGTGACTTGTGACTAGGGTTGAAAACGGACGGAATTTTTCTCGTTCCGAACCGCCCGCCTTTCCACATTTGATCCACCCATCTCCGTATTTTCGGAAAAATCCGAAAACGGTACAGAATGCGGAACGGCTGTTTCCAGAATCCGAACGGAAACAGGAAAGGTGCGTTCCCGTCCGTATTTTCGTAATTCCGTATTTGGCCGGATTTTTATCGGATTTATTCCAGATTTTAGCCAGAGCCATAAAACCTTGTATCTTGACATCTTATCTTGAAGGCCTAATACTACAGCTCATCTAATGAAACCCTAGATCTCATCTCTCTCAGTCTCTCACCTAAAAAAAAATCTCTTAGTGTCTCTCAAGCACAAGCGGAGCCGCATAGGGACTGGGGAGCAGACGGCCAACCGTCCCGCCTCCCCCTCAAGGCCACCACCGCCTAGTCGCCGGTCGTGCGCCCGCGCAGGGCTCCGCCTCCACGCTGCCGCCGCGCAGTGAAGAAAAGGCCTTGACTAGTTGGGGTATGACCTCCTCCGCGCACCTGTTATGTTAATTCTGGACCTAGTTATTTTTAATTCTAGTGTTAAGTTGTGCTAAGTTATTTTTGAATTATGAGTGTGAAGTTTGTCATTTGTGAACTATTTTTGTGTGATTGTTATTTGTAAGTATAAAGATGTGCGGTATTCCGACTTAAGTTACTGGCTTCTAACCCTTTCTATTGAATTCCGATCATATTAGTTCATTTTGTACACCCGTATATTCCGGTTCCGTTTCCAAACCCGATTTCGTTTCGAAAAAAAGAAACACTAGAAATGGTTTCCGTCCGTTTTCGTGACGCACGAACTCCGTTTTCATCGATACATTGTGACACACAAACTCGTCGGGTCCCGGTCCCGGGTCCAGGCACCCTTCTCGATCGGTCGCTGGGAAAGCTTTCCCCTTCCCGAAGCTTCGCACCGCCTCTTCCTCCTCCTCGTCCTACTCGCCGCCGCCGCCGCCGCCCCCTTCTAGAATTATCCAGAGGCGTGCCGGTGAAGCGCGAGAGCGGTGAGGCATGGCGACGCAGACGGGGGTCGCGGCCTCCAAGGTCCTCATCCTCGTCAGTGCAGGTCCTCGTCTCATCACCGTCATCGACGCCCCCATCAAATCTCCGATCGGCTGTTGTTTCGACACCTTACGTGGTGAAATGGTGTCCTTGCAGGGATGACGGGGTCGATCCTGCTGCGGAATGGACGCTTATCTGATGTGTTGGGGGAACTCCAGGTCTGTATAATTTTTCACCATTTTTATGTTCATGTTTGATTACACGCACTATCATGCGGTTTGGACAGCTGATCGTTGTCAGATATGGAGTAGCTGATAACTTACAAATTTTTTTAAATGACTTGGCGATGGGGTGCTAGAAGTATTAATTCTGTCTGTATGAGTATGTGATTAACACCATGTGATAAAATTGCATCAACGACTTAATGCACCAATTGTCATTCGGAAGTCCTGCATAATTTATGCTTCACTAGTTAGTGATTCCTAATACATATCATACAGATTTTGATGATATGCTCTGCAACTTCGCCTACAACCACACATATTAACCCTGCAAACTACTAATTAATGTTTATTTAAGACAATGCTGTATTTGTTATGTTTTTAGGAGATTATGAAGGGTGTAAATCAAGGAACCGCTTCAGGCCCCTATGATATTGCATTTATTCAAGCTCAGGTATGATCTTCTTCATATAGAATGCATCTGACATTCTCAGTGGCAGCATCTGCATAGAAGTTACTCTTACTTCCTTCCATCTTGATAAAATTATTCATTTCATCTTAATTTTGCATGCTCGTGCTTGATATTAGATTCGGAATTTAGCCCAAGAAGTCAGAGATTTAACGTTGTCAAGGCCCATTACCATACTGAATGGCAAATCTGACTCAGGAGGTTTGTATCAGTTTCACTGTCTCCTCGTTCTGTTTCCTTTATTCACTTATGTGTACAAATTACCATTTCATGCAAATATTTAGCTTCAGTTCAGATAATTCCTGTATCAATGTTCACAGAAGATTTTAAATAATCAGTTTCTTAAGCCCCTACAGGCTTATTTACACTTCTAAACTATGTACATCTGAAAGGAGACCACCCACATAGTAGTTCTGCAAAAAACTCTTGAAAACATGTTGAGTGCTGAAGTTAGCAATGAGTGATACATGATGTCTGATTATTTACAAGCTGGAACCGCATACACATTGATTCTTAGCTTATAGCAGTTTACTATAAGTGGGTAAATGCTACTGTTATATTCGGCTTTTGTATTATTTTCCCAGTTATGTGCTTGTTCCTTTTGCAGGTGGTTTATCATCCTACATACTGCCAGCAGCTGCAATTGGAGCAATGGGTTATTGCTACATGTGGTGGAAGGTAAAATGCAAAATCTATGCCCTTAATTAGTTGGTTGTGAATTTTCTTTATTTTCTCCTCCTTTTCTCCATTAGTTGCCTGTGGTTTTTAGGTTCAAGGTAACTTTTATTGAATTAGTAACCAAATAAAAGAAAGTAAAATTTTTTTATTCCCTGCATATTTATTATTTTAGCTATTCTGCTCTGTTTTGTTGTCTGTGAGTACTAAAAATTATGATATTTGTGTTTTAAATAAGGAAGTTATGCATCATTTCTTACTGATGCTACCACATTCAGTTCCAGAGGGTCTTATGTGAAGCAGCTTAAAAGTGGTATCCATCCATGTGGACAAGTAATTGGACATTAGTAACTGAATAACTGGTACTCATCATGTGAACACCATGGATAAATCCTCTTTATATTAATTCTATAATAACGTCTTCCTGGTTGGCTATGGATGTTATGGCCAGTATTGTATACACCTGGCGGAAGAAGGACCAGGGGCGCACGACACATCCGAGACATCCGACGCAGCAGACTCCGGGAATTAGGCAGTTCCTTAGTAGATTAGATAAATAGGAAATCCTCTGTATCAGTTAGGCTGGCAGGACAACTTCTATTGTTGCCTCTGCTCTTTGCGCCCGCTCTTCCGAGGTCGTGACAGCTCCCTTACGCCGGCGATCCTGGAAGTGGCGGCCTTCTCCCTCCCACTCATATGCTCTCAGATCACTAGGCTCTTCCAATTTGGTATCAGAGACCAGGTTATCCAATCAAGTTTCATGTTTTCGAAGTTGACAGTTGATAGGCACTTTGATTCTAATAATACAATTTTCCTGTTTCACTAGGATTTAGAGGCAAGATCATCAGATGTTAACAGCTCCAAGTCGAGATTTTTTTTTTTCATTTAATAACATGTTGCAGTCAGAATGATCGTTTCACCTATTCTGCTTAGGCTTTCTGACATGTTAATAACCTCATGCAGGGATTGTCTCTCTCAGATGTCATGTTTGTCACAAAACACAACATGGCAAATGCTGTTCAGAGCATGTCAAAGCAGTTGGAGCAAGTTTCATCAGCACTAGCTGTATGCTCTGTTCCCAACTTCATTTCATATTTACTTCAGCATCTGTCATATCTATAAGTGCAATTAATTTCAGGCAACAAAAAGACATCTAACTCAGCGGCTTGAGAATTTGGATGGCAAAATGGACAAACAAGTAGAGGTCTCCAAAGCTATTAGAAATGAGGTTCGTTCATTTTAACTATGACTCCTGCCTCCTGGGCAGTAATATTATGATATTCTCTTGATACTCACATGGGCCTCCTAAAAGGCTGTTGTTTCCTGTGCCTGAGCATAATGTTTCTTTTTTAATACTATATGCCTGCATTTGATCAGCACCAAGTCCATATAGTACAGCCCTAAGTGGTTTCATGCATATTTGTGTCTGTTGCTGCATAACTGTTTCATTGAAGTTATTCATTGCAAGGATTTTCTTTGGTATCTGCTCCAAACTAAAAATAAAAAATGGAGCCTATACCAGCGAGCAAGTAACATTTGAGATAGACTGTGAAAGTGAATAGGTCTCGGTAATTGATTGATAGATTAGCAGCAGTACAGGGTACAATATATAGGCAAGGATCAATAGGGTTTATAGAAACACCCAATCGACGGTGATCCTTGCCTTATCAATGTAATCTATCTATCTTAACCCCTAAGGCAGCCAGCCTAACAGGCTAGGCGCCGAGCCCAAACTAGCCCATTAGGTGCCTATTATTCTAACACGCCCATGATCGAATAAATCGCCACCACTCGCACGTTTAGATTGGACCTAAACTCCGTGAAAATTGAAGTAGGCAGCCCTTTGGTGAAGATATCTGCATATTGCGAAGAGGTGGGAACATGCAGAACACGAAGATCACCAATGGTGACTCGCTCCCGGACGAAGTGAAGATCGATCTCAATGTGCTTGGTGCGCTGATGCTGAACCGGGTTGGAGGTCATGTAGACGACACTGATGTTGTCACAATACACCAGTGTGGCGCGTCGTAGAGGGGCATGCAGCTCCAGAAGTAGCTGGCGGAGCCAAGTAGCCTCTGCAACTCCGTTGGCCACCGCGTGATACTCGGCCAAAGATGGATCTTGACAACGTGTTACGGGCGCTTTGAGGACCAGAAACAATGTTGTCGCCAAGGAACACCGCGCATAGCCTCGAGGTGGACTTGCGAGTGTCGGGACAACCACCCGGTCGGCGTCGGTGTGAGCGACAAGATCGGTCGAAGTAGACGGTTGCGAGGAGACCAAGGTGAAGAGTGCCTCGAGCGTAGCGAAGAATCCTCTTGAGGCGGCAGCAAGGTGAGGCTCACGAGGATCATGCATGTGGAGGCAGACCTGCTGAACTGCATATGCAATGTCTGGGCGGGTGAACGTTAGGTTCTGGAGAGCTCCGGCAAGGCTGCGGAAGTCTGTAGCATCAGACACAGGGGCCCCATCAGCTGTAGCAACCTTTGGATTGGTGTCAACTGGAGTGGAGCATGGCTTGCACTCTGTCATCCTCAAGACGTTCAGAATATCCAGCATATCTTGTCATTGTGAGAGAGAGAGGCCATCACCACTTATTTGAACTCGCATACCAAGGAAGTGATGCAATGCACCGAGGTCTTTCATGGCGAACTCCTGCTGAAGTGCTGAGATAATCCGCCGAAGGAGACCGGGTGAGGAAGCTGTGAGGACAATGTCATCCACATAGAGCAATGTGTAGGTCAGATTCGATCCACGCTGGTAGATAAAAAATGAGGTGTCTGACTTGGCTTCAACAAACCCAATAGGCATCAGGAATGAGGCCATCCGGTTTGCACCATACGCGAGAGGACTGCTTCAGGCCGTATAGGGATTTCATCAGAAGGCAGACAAAGTCCGGGTGAGCTGGATCTTCGAACCCGGACGGCTGCCGGCAATACACAATCTCAGACAAATTGCCATGAAGGCGTTCTTCACATCTAGCTGGTGGATGGGCCAGGTGCGAGAGAGCGCCAAGGAGAGCACCGTGCGGACAGTAGCGGGCTTCACCACAGGACCGAACGTCTCATCGAAGTCAACACCGAAGTTTGGGTAAAGCCATGAAGAACCCAGCGTGCCTTTTGTACCGCTCAAGGGAGCCATCGGATTGAAACTTGTGCTTGAAAATCCACTTGCCGGTGACGACGTCGGCCCGAGGAGGTCGAGGCACGAGGTCCCAAGTGTGATTACGCAAGAAAACTTTGTGTTCTTCCATAGCCGCTTTCGCCAATTGGGGCGCCGAGAGGCGTTATGAAAGGTCTTTTGCATCGCAGAGAGAGGCGGCGTGGTGGCGGCGGGCATCCGATAGCCGCTCTTCGACCGCCAGCGTGCCCATAAGCGTCTTGGTTAAATCCAGAGGAGTGGCAACAACGGCGCCCTTAGGTAGCGCAGGCGGCGGCGGTGCAGAGCAATCGGAAGCAAAGCGGTGTTAGGGGGCGGTGCATGAGGTAGTAGCGGCGTGATCGGGGTCGACGCGTGTAGTGGTACATGAAGGCCCGATCCGATTGGAGAGGTGGGAACCCGGCGGGGTCCTACGCTACGCACGTGAGGCGGCGGGATGTAAGCGGGAGAGCCTCTCCAGCGTCTTTGGCAACGCGTGGCCCGCGCGATGGCGTGATAGAGGTGTCCCGACGCCCGCAGCACTGGTGGAATGTAGAGCGCGGGTGCCGGTGGATCATTAGCATCATCGGCGGGCGCCCGAGCACGATCGCGATGGGACGGGAAGGGGCGCTGGAGACATCATCGGTCTTTGGGTGGTGTTCTGAGACAAAAACTTGTGCATCGGTCCAATAGGAGGGAGCACAGGTCGATGAGTATTGTCATCGAGGCTGTGAGGTCGGCTGGAGCACTAGGACCATGGCGCCAAAGCAAAGGAAAGGCCGTTTCATCGAAGATGACGCGTCGGGAGACGCGATGACTCTATTGGAGGAGAGGTCAAGGCGGCGGTACCCTTTGTGATGAGCGAGAATATCCTAGGAAGACACACAGATGACAGACCTAGGGGTGAGTTTTGTGGGGGTGCGATGGCCGACATGTTTGGGTAACATTTGCAAATCAAGACTCGTAGATGATCATATGCTGGTGGCTTGCCGAACAGGGCAAGGTGCGGCGTGGAAAACTGTAGAGTCTTGGTAGGCAGTATGTTGAGCAGAACAGTGGCTGTAGAGAGGGCCTCTACCCAATAGGACGGAGGCATGGATGCCTGAAAGAGCAGTGAGCGAACAACATTATTGATGGAGCGAATAATGCGTTCAACTTTACCGTTTTGAGACGATGTGTAGGGACAGGACATGCGAAGGTGGACGCATACGAAGCGAGGAAAAACTGACGGGAGCTAGAGTTGTCAAACTCTCTCCCGTTGTCGCACTGAACAGCCTTGACCCGGGCGCCAAACTGGGTGGAGGCGTGAGCAATGAAGTGAGCAAGCGTGCTGAAAGTGTTAGATTTAAGCCGCAAAGGAAACGTCCACAAATAATGAGTGCAATAATCAAGTATGACCAAGTAGTATTTATAACCAGAAATGCTGACAACTGGAGAGGTCCATAAATCACAATGTATAAGATCAAACTTGCTATATGCACGAGAGGTGGACTCATGAAAGGGCAAGCGAACATGACGCCCTAACTGACAAGCATGACATAACTCTGAGAAATCCACGAATATGACAGAAGACACTAGACGCGCGAGCTTCGACAACGCCTCATGACCGGGGTGGCCAAGACGTCGATGCCACAGCGGGGAGGAAGCCTGGGCGACAAGGGAGTGTCTTTGGGGGTAGGCGCAGAGGGTATAGCGGCCCCAGAGCTATTGCACTGACGATCTCGGTCCGAGATGGAAGAACCTTCACAGAACAACCGGCGGGGTCAAACTCAATAGAACAATTATTGTCGGTAGTAAATTGGCGAACAGAGATAAGATTCTTAATAATTTGTGGCGACACAAGGACATTATTAAGGCGTAAATTACGAGACAACTCTGAGAGCCGATTGGCGATGTGATGTGGAAGAAGAGAGCCATTACCGACAACAATGGATGAAGGAGTAGGGTACAGCGGGAGAAGAACATGTGAAAGAGAGGAGGACCGAGATGTCATATGTGAAGTAGCTTTTGAGTCAAGTACCACTCGTTGGATGTAGGGAGGGTTGACGACGTTATCTTCAAGGCGGAGCGAGGGCCGTCGGGTCCCAAGAGGGAGGCCGCCACCGGGTTGTAATACCCGGGGCGACCACCATCCGGTGCCATCGGGGAGCGGAGGAGGGCAGCGGCCTGCTGGTGGACAGCAAGGCGTGCTGCTGCTGTTGGGCGAGGAAGGCCTGCTGTTGGCGCGCTATTGAAGGCGTGTTGTTGCGCTGCTGCTTTGCAAGTGAGGAGGCCTTTGGGATGGGTGCAATGCCGGTGGACGAGGTCCCCCAGCCACATCTAAATGGTCCCAGTCCGGGGTTGTAGACGCGCTTGAGCCATGGGCCACGCCCGCCGGCCATTGCTTCTTCTTTGTTGTTATGCGCCACCGGTGGGGCGTGACCCCTATCCGGGAGGGCCCTTGCCGCTGTTGTTTTGTTGCCACCCGCCCGCGCTTGCTGCGCGACGGTTGTTTAAGCGGCTTGAGTTCCCACTAAGCGCGCCCGTCTTGGGAGGACGCAGGGGTAGGGTGGGAGTGGTGGAGGCGGCGAGCGCTTGATGGCGGAGTGCGTCCCTGCGGGTCTCCATGGTGAGTTCCTCGAGGATGAGGTCGCCACGAGCCTCCGGGAAGGTGGGGAACGGTCGAAAGCGCGGCGAAGGAGCGCCCCAACGTGGTTGAAGCGCTTCGTTGAGAGCCGCGGATCACGTTGAGGACGAAAGCGTGCGATCGGTTGGTGACGACCTCGCCTAGGGCCGTGAGATCATCGGCCATCTTTTTGACTTCTTGGCGATGAGTCGGTGACGGAGAGGTCGCATACGGGACGGTTTGCGAAACCGCGTCTCGAGGTGGATGGAGCGAGCCTCGCGGTTGCCAAGGCCGCGACTTCGACGGGCGAGCGAGCATGTCGGCGGTGGAGCCTGGCGGAGATGATCTCGCCAAGGTCGTCGGTGAGCGTGGCGACGATCCAGGACTTGACGACGCTGTCCATGCAGGCCCAATTAGGAGGAATTGGGGCTGGAGGTTCCTCTCGAACGTGATCCTAGAGAGAGAACTTGCCGAGGATGAGAAGAAACTGATCACGCCAGCGGTTGAAGTTACCGGAATCGACGTCGAGGATGGTGGTGACGTGGTTCCGGATGTTGCTGACCGCAACAGCCTGAGCATGGAGCTGCAGAAGGGCAACGGCCTCGTGATGCAGCATGGCAGCCCGAAGATTGGGTGGCGGCGCTGAAGTGCCTCCAGGTGTGGCGCCAGAGGGTTCCGGAGCAACAGCGGCAGCAGCGGCCGCCCGCTCCTTGGCAGCGCGCGCTAGTGCCTCGCTAGCGCACTGGGCGGCGGCGTCGCGATCCTTAGTCGCGGCTGTGGCCTCCTTCTCGGCCTGTAGGGCGCGTGCTAGGGCAGCATCACGCGCAGCCTGACGCTCGCGCTCGAGACGCTGAGCAGCGGCGGCAGCCTCGTTGGCCTTCTCCGTGGCGAGGCGTTGGGCGACGACGTCTGCCTGGATGGTGGCAGAGGAGGCGTCCAGATCGTCCCCAGCCCTAGGGGCTGCTGGAGGGGTGGAGGGCATGGTGGCGCAGCACGGTGGGTACCGGCGCGCGGAGGGGCGCAGCGCGGCGAGGGGCCGGCGCGCGTGGGGTGGGCAGCGGAAGAGTAGACCTAAACCTAGGCGTCTGATACCATGAAAGCGGATAGGTCTCGGTAATTGATTGATAGATTAGCAGCAGTACATGGTACAATATATAGGCAAGGATCAATAGGGTTTATAGAAACACCCAATCGACGGTGATCCTTGCCTGATCAATGTAATCTATCTATCTTAACCCCTAAGGCAGCCAGCCTAACAGGCTAGGCGCCAGGCCCAAGGCCAGCCCATTAGGGCGCCTATTCTAACAGACTGTAAAGAACAGAAGAAAACAAGCATTAGCATGTTGATATTATTTTTTATTAAATTATGTGATTACATTGGGCTATGGCTGTTGATAAACCAGTGTAAATCTGTAACATACTAACATTCCCATATATGTGGCACTGATATGTTGATAGCTCGTTTCATTTTCTTCGCTTAGAGCACCAAAGACATTTTATGTTCTTCCTAATGATATGCAAAAGCTTTTCCCCACACCATATACACTTATAAGCTCTAAAGCTATAAACTATATTTTATTATCCTTGTTTCAGTTTATTCATACAATTTTGTTCTATATGTGAAGGTCAATGATGTTAAAGATGACCTGTCTCAAATTGGATTTGATATCGAAACAATTCAGCAAATGGTTGCTGGATTGGTGAGTTTGAGTATTCTCTTAAACTTGTTCATGAACTGCTGTCAAAATTATACATCTTGACCTTTTTTTCCCTTGTTATCAGGAGGGAAAGATCGAGTTACTTGAGAACAAGCTGGTAGTTGACTTGTGAGTATCAGTTATCCATGCCATCCTTTAATTCCCCTTATCCTAACTTCCTGTGTATACTGAACAGGACGTGGCTAATACTGGTATATGGTACCTCTGCCAAGTAGCAGGCGGTTTAAAAGATGGAATAAGCACCAAGTTTTTCCAGGTGATCAGATTATTGAGTATTCTGCATGATAAAAGATTTTTTCATTCATGTAAACTTATATCCTCCCAAGAACTAGCAAACCAAACATATGATAAAGCAGGCTTGGCAAGGTAGGGTCAAGCAGAAACAATGTGTGAAAAGACATCTATGTGTTTGTTGTTCTTTTCTTCTGATGATTCTTCACTGTTCTTCATAACGCAGGAAACCAGTGAGAAGCTGAAGCTCTCACATTCAGCTCAACCTGAAAACAAGCCAGTGAAGGTACCCCCTCTCTCCCTCCCCCCCTCCCACCCTCCCTCCCTTTGTTATGAAATTGTTGATGCCGAATCTCCTGTCTTATTTGTGCACATTCTAGGGACTTGAATTTTTTTCGGAAAGCGCCAAGGAACAGAAAGTAGCTGACTCCAAACCAATTGCGGTCGCAATCGACGCCGATAAGCCCGAGAAAACCACAGCTGTAAAGGGCACCGCAGTGCACAGGTCTATCAGGTTCTCATATCGGAAGGAAGGCCTTGCTTTGTGATCAAATCCTCTCCGCTTGAGATGCACATGGCCTTCCTGGTTGCTTTGTGTGTCAGAAAACATAGAAGAATAACCTGCATCTGGAGTGACAGAATTTCTTTTTCCCCGGAGTAGACAGGTGTGATTATTTGGTCTGGTTTGAAACTATCTCCAGTTCCACTCATTTATCATTTTTTCTTGGATTTTGATCAATTTTATGTTTTGATTGGTTGCTTTGTACACTGTAAAGTCATTGGAAAGAATAAATAAAACACGATTGTTTTCTTGTAAAATTGGAGATGTACTAGAGACCAAGCAATGCTTCCAATCCCGAGAGATCACAAACTGCCTCGACTGCTTAGCAAGTTTCCTTGCTGACAAAAGTACGTAGCAATAATCAGCAATAGATAAGGAGGCACCGAGCCAAAGCCAAAATGCAGAAACATATCAACTGCAAGATTAAAATTCCGCCGAATCATAGGGCGGTCGAAGTTAGCAAAATTTGACCACAAATTTTTTTTAGCAGAATTTCATCACAATTGGTGAGCAATACGTATATAGACCGAATAAAGCCCAGCCCATCAACGCCCAGGCTATAGGACCCAGGGAGAAACCCGCCCTAACCCTCCCTTCTCCCGTCCGCCGCTAGAGGGGGGACGTGTGCACCGCCTCCACCAGCACTTGCTGGAGAGGACGCGACCTCTCCCCTCTCCCGCCCACAAGTCGGTTATCTTCTTCCGGGCGCCTCACAAGGTAAGCAGCGCTCTGTGCCCGTATGCCTTATCCTTCGTCGTATCCTTTGTTCTTTTACGCGTGATCCTTTGTTCTTGCGCGTGTGCTTCCCATGGTTTTATCAGTCGGAGCTGTTCACAATTTTGTTGAGGAATCCGGTGTAGTGCTCCCTATAATCTGTAGGCCCTAGCATTGTTCATGCCCGTGTGCTTCTCCATGGTTTTATCAGTCGGAGCTGTTCGCAATTTTGTTGAGGTATCCGGTGTAGTGTTCCCTATAATCCGTAGCGATCGGTTGGATATGGTTTGTGCGAGAGTTGAGTTGTTTGATCGATCGATTGATACTTTAGCGATTAGCTTCTGCTTAGACGTGACATGGGAGAATTAAGGTTCCCTATAATCCGTAGCGATCAGTTGGATATGGTTTGTGCGAGAGTTGAGATGTTTGATCGATTGATACTTTAGCGATTAGCTGCTGCTTAGATGTGACATTGGAGGATTAAGGTTCAGAGGTCGATTTTCTAGGCTAAATGGAACCGAGAATGGAACCGTTACGCTCCCCCGCTCCTGCTCCGCCCCCGCCCCCGCACGCCGCTCCTCAGCCCAGATCCACCGCCGCCGGCCGCGGCCCCCAGTCGTCGTGTGCTACAGCGCGTTCCCCACCCCGCGGCCGTCCTCCTCATCCCACTCGCCCTGCTAGCAGTGCCCCACAGCCACAGATCGAGCCCGTCTCCCGCCCTGCAAGCCCGGTGCGCCTGACGCCCCGTACGTCGCCTCCCCGTCGCCCAGTCCCCAAATCTCTCGTCGTGGGGCAGGAAATCCGGCTCGGCGCGCCCGCTGCTGCTTCCGGCGCGTCGGAGAAGGCAGGGGGCACGTCTGGTAAGCGTGTGAAGTTCGCCTCCCCCCTCTGCAACCATTCTGTGAGGTGTTACTACTCCAACGGTACTTCGTCCATGAAATCTTGCCTCAGATCCGCAGCAGTGAAGCATGCCTCTGGTGCTCCATCCGCTGAGCATTCAACTCACCCCCTCTAGGCTGCAGCGCCCTACATTGATGGTGGTTTTCCTTCCCGAGGGGGGTGGCTCAGGGCAGTCACCGGGGCGAGCCAGCAGGCCGATGGGGCGCATTCACGCGCGCAGCTCGCGTCAGAAGATGAAGGTGGTTGGTCCATGGTGCGCCCGAGGCGCTGGTGGCGTCTCCTTGAGTTCAAAGACACGATGCATTCAACTCCCTCAACCACCAAGGTCAAATCGGCGCATTACCACCACAACAACGAACTTCTGAGGCGCATGAGAGGTAAATGCTTCAGATGTCTCTCTCCTGGCCACGCTGCGGCAGACTGCAGGGACCCGGTGCGATGCTTCTCTTGTGGCCGCTGGGGGCATAAAAGCAGAGCGTGCAGGGGCAGAGCTTCATCCTCCCAGTAATGCATGGCAAACGGACTCCAGCGGCAACGTCCGGAGCAGGCCACCGCAGCACTGGAGGTACAGGATGCTGTCGACAACATGCCTGCCGCTGCACTGGCGGTGTCAGAATTTCTAGAGGGGATCTCACACCCTCTGCCCCAACCCATCTTGCAGGTTCCATCGCGCCGAGCCAGCCCACCACAGCGACGCAAGAGGGCTGTGGTTCCGGCACGCAGGAGCGTGCGCATTGTAGCCATGAACTGGCCCAGAGGTGATACTCAAGCGAAGGCCAGACATGTGCTCATGAAAAGGCTGGGCATCATCGACGAGGAAGGACTCAGCCACGACGATATGTTGCTGCGCTACTTCAGCCTATTCAAGGGACCACTCACCGACGCCGTCGTGAAGGCTCTGACGGCATTGTGTGGCCTCGATGCAGCAACAACAGTTTCCACTCCGCAGGTTTAGATAGCTGCTGATTGCGAAGGGTAACTCAATGTATTAATGATAGAAAACCATCACCACTCCAGGAGTTTCACATCTAGAGTCGACCTTCGGTTTGTGAGCTTCCAGTTATGTTGCTTGGGTGGGGCGACAGCCAGAGGCCTACAGTCGCCTCCCCATCAGACTGGAAAGCTCCTACACCTAGCAGTTCGTTGTAGCAACAGCTCTGTATGCAAGAAACTCTTGCATTGTATCACTGCGCTGACAGCCACTGGCCTTCAGATTAATTGGCGTCTCCAATTTGCTGCTTTCATGAGCATGTGTCTTAGTGTGATTAACTTTGTTCTTCCTGCCAATAACCACAGCCCTAGATGGCCCGCTTTTTGCCTCCCTCCATATATTTTGCTTAAACAAGGGTCCCTTGCTTGTTTTTTATGGCACAGCTAAATTGCCAAATACTTAACTGGAACGTCAGGGGCATGAATGACGGCGCTCGGCAAGACTCGGTGAGCGAGTTAGTGAGAAGCACTGGTGCCACCATTGTATGTCTACAAGAAACAAAGATGCAAGTTATGGACCATAATGTGGTGAGCCGCACAGTAGAAGCAAAATTTGTTAACTCCTATATTGTGCTCCTGGCGGAACAGACTCGAGGACGCATTCTCCTTGCTGTCAATGAAGACTTCTTCAACCTCTCCGACATTGAACTTACCACGAACGCTATAACCGCGCAAATCAACATGAGGCGGATGGAATAAAGTGGCAAATTACAGTTGTATACGGCTCGCAAGGAGATGCAACCAAACTTCAATTCCTCCAAGAATTGAAGAACATTCCTCCGTCGGAACACAACAGATGGCTCATCCTGGGAGATTTCAATCTCATCTACCAGGCACAAGACAAGAACAACTCCAATCTAAACCGGCGCCTCATGGGGGCATTTAGGGCGACGATTGATCACTTGCGGCTCAAAGAAATCAAGCTAAATGGACGACGCTTCACTTGGAGCAATCAACATGACAACCCGACGCTCACCAGAATTGATAGACTACTATGTACCCCAGAGTGGGAACTGATGAACTGATCTTCCTCGCGTGCTTCTTGCATTCCCTGCCATCGCTCATGTCGGACCATACCCCGCTACTACTACAGGGAGAGCTTGACCACCATCAGAACACATCCTTCCGCTTGAAAATTTCTAGACTAAGATGGAAGGTTTCCGAGATCTTGTCCAAAACATTTGGAATAGGTCGGTCGCCTCTGCTCTTCCTATGAAACGCTTGCATATCAAAATGGCGCGTGTGGCAAAAGAAATCAAGTGTTGGAAAAAAAGAAAAAATAGGGGACACGAAGCTGCAGCTCGCCATAGTGAAGGAAGTATTGTTACAGTTAGAAGCAGCCCAAGAGCATAGGTTGCTCACTGACATGGAGCTTGACCTATGCCGGCGCCTCAAAGCCCGTAGCACGGGGCTCGCAGCCATTGAAAAATTAAGAATCAGACAGAGATCGAGGCTCACATACATCCGTTGTGGAGATGCTAACACCAAATTTTTTCACATTAGAGCCAGTGCATGCCGGAGAAAGAATTACATACATTGTCTGCATATGGATGGGGGGATCGCGGTTGCTCATGAGGAAAAAGAAAAAGTGATAGGAGATTATTTTAAAAATTACATTGGCTCTGCGTTTCGAGAACTACGACAATCAATTGGCAATCTCTTGGCTACACTCAACATGATCTCTCCAACATGGAGGTGCCTTTCTCCCATGATGAGGTAAAAATACTATAAATTCCATGCCTTCTGACAAAGCGCTAGGCCGGATGGCTTCACGGGTGCCTTCTTCAAAGCTTGTTGGGAAATCATTAAAGAGGATGTTATGGCAACCATGAACAACCTATTCACATTGAATGGCTAAACTCGGCATGCATCATCCTTCTACCCAAAAAAACGGATGCAACGAGAGTTACCGATTTTAGACCCATCAACCTCGTCCATAGCATTGTAAAGATCTTCTCCAAATTATTAGCTAACAGACTTGCCTCTCGACTGAACTCCCTCGTCCCCAATTGCCAGAGCACATTTATAAAAAAGAGAAGCATCCATGATAATTTTCTTTACGTCCAGGGAGTAGATACCGGTTTTGTTCATGAAACTAGACATCCACAAAGCTTTTGACACAGTAAATTGGGGGTACTTGCTAGAGATTCTGCAGGCTCTGGGCTTCGGGCCACACTGGCGTGAATGGATCTCTATTCTCCTACGTACATCCACCTCGATAGCCTTGCTTAATGGGCGGCAAGGACCCACTTTTAGCCATGCCAGAGGCGTCCGGCAGGGAGATCCGCTTTCACCCATGCTATTCATTCTAGCTATGGACCCACTTCAACGATTGCTTGACCAAGCAACCCAACATGGGATACTCACACCCTTACCCATCACGGTGGAAAAATGGAGAACCTCTATGTATGCAGATGATGTGGCTATTTTCATCAATCCAATAAAAGATGATGTAGAAGCCGTCAAAATCATCCTCCAAGTTTTCGGCACATTCTCGGGACTCCATATTAATCTAGAAAATAGCTCAGTGCATCCAATCAGTTGTGGAAATGTCGACCTAGACCAAGTCCTATCACCCTTCACCGGTAGTAGAGGTGACTTCCCATGTAAATATTTGGGGCTGCAACTCCACATTAGATCATTACAAAAGGTCTATGTGCAATCTCTCATTGAGCGTATTGGACAAAGGTTACCCAAATGAAAAGGAAGATGGCTAAGCGGGACGCCTCACTCTAGTAACTTCAGTCCTCTCCTCCATACCAACCTACCACCTCATAGTGTTTTTCTTGGCGGCATGGGCTAAGAAAAAGATCGACAAAATCAGGAGATCTTTCTTGTAGAAGGGGGAGGAGAATGCCAATGGTGGACACTGCCTAGTAAATTGGCCAACAGTTACCAGACCGAAATACCTTGATGGTTTAGGCATGCCTGACCTTGATAGATTTGGGAGAGCCCTCCGATTGTCGCTGGCTTTGGCAAGAATGGGTGGACAACTCCAAGCCTTGGAGCGGCTTAGAGCTTCCATGTACTAATGTTGATCGTCTCCTCTTCAACTCCTCAATTATTATAACTTTGGGGGATGGTGCAAAGATAAGTTTTGCCACCATAATTGGCTTGAAGGAGAAGCTCCAAGGTACCTAGCCCCGAATTTGTTTCGTCTTGTTTCAAGGAGAAACCGAATGGTGAAACAAGAGCTCCAGAACAACAATTGGATGCACTCGCTAAGAAGGAAAATCACCTCGGCTATCCACATTGAGGAGTTTGTGTCCCTTTAGATACAAATTCAGGACGTGCACCGCAACAGGGCGTTCAGGACTCCATCATCTGGCAATGGACCTAGGATGGGATTTATTCCACCCGCTCAGCTTACATAATTCAATTCAAAGGCTCGCTCGTCTTGTTCCGTTCTAAACTCATTTGGAAAGCACAGGTGGAGAACAGATGGAAGATCTTCGTCTGGATTTTAGTGCAAGATAAAATTCTTACGACGCACAACCTACACAAGAGAGGGTGGCCACACCAACAACACTGCGTGCTGTGCAACGGTCCCTTAGAAACCGGCCTCCACCTTTGTCTTTGTTGCCCTTTTGCTAAGGTGGTTTGGGATCAAATCCTCTCTTGGGAAAACTTCACTCAGCTGCAACAACAACCCCAGGCAGACCCCATCCATATTAGGGCACGGTGGGAAGAGACGGCAAGGAAAGTGCCAAAATCTGAACGTAGACTACTTAACGGGGTAGTAATCTACACCTTTTGGAATATTTGGAAAGAGAGAAATAGGAGAATTTTCAACAACAAGATAGAAATGGTGCCACAAGTAGCCGCAAGGATAAAGGAAGGCATTGAGCAAAGGAAGAGAGCACTCGCTTATGTGTAGCTGTTGTCCCCCCTTGGGGTGTGTGTTTCCCTCCTTTACCGGCTTCAGGGGGCTTGAATCCATCATCTAGAGTGCCCTTGCTTGTACATAAACTATCTTTCCCTATCTTAATTGAAAGGCAAAGCAAATGCCATTGCGTTCAAAAAAAAAGAATTAAGGTTCATGTTGGGTGTACGGATACTATGGTAGTTCGAGCATGACCACCGAAACCTTCAATTAGTTTTGTACTGCTTTTTCTTTGTGGATTTTGTGCAGCTAATCAAGATTGTTTTGTTCTTATCCATGCAAAGGATGCCTGTTGTCTCTTACTGGCATCTTGCCTTTCCTTAGCTTAGCTTTAAACGAAAAATCATTCTTGCCTGCAGATGATGCATTATGATTTATGCTCGCCTTAGGTTTTTGCTGATTCTAGTTTAATTTGCTTTTGCTTTTGCTTTTTCTGATAGTATCATTGCCGTGCGTAGTAGCAAAGGTCTGTGTGATTAAATTGGTTCGTTGCCATGGAGTATTCTAAAGCAACCAATAGCATGTTCAACTTAATATGGAAATTGGTTTGTCTTTATGTTTGGTCTGATTAATCTGTACCTTCTTGTGGAGATGCATATTGACGCTTTTTTATAATCATTTCAAAACGAATGCTTACAAAGACATTGTTGGTTATGTCATCTTAGAATTTCTTGTTCCTAATTTTGGGTATCTATAGTCAGTATCTGAAATTGTAATCGGGTAGTTTGGGTATGGGTTTGGGTATTGGGTATTTTGCCCAGTCTTGTGTGTAGCATTCGCATTTGTTCTTGTTTTACAGGAATTGGTATTCAAGTTTTGTATCACCAAGATGGTGCAGTACAATTTCAAGAAGATCACTGTTGTCCCTCCTAGGAAGAACTTCATTGACATAACCCTGTCCCGCACTCAAAGGCAAACACCGACTGTTGTCCACAAGGGATATGCTCTCTCCCGCATTCGCCAGTTTTATATGCGCAAGGTTAGGTATTCCCAGCAGAACTTTTATGAAAATCTCTCCACCATCATCGATGAGTTTCCTCGGCTGGATGACATCCACCCTTTCTATGGTGATCTCTCCACGTGCTCTACAACAAGGATCACTACAAACTTGCCCTGTGTCAGATCAACACAACTAGGAACATCATTGGAAAGATATCCAAGGACTTCTTGAGGCCCCTCAAGTGTGGAAAGTCCCTTTACCAATGCAAGCATCTGAAGGAGGCTGCACTAGGGCGTATGTGCACTGCTGTGAAGAAGATCAGTCCTAGTTTGGCTTACTTAGAGCAGATCAGGTAGCACATGGCCAAGCTTCCTTCCATAGACCCGAACACTTGGACCATGCTAATTTGTGGATATCCAAATGTGGGCAAAAGTTCTTTCATGAACAAGGTTACAAGGGCAGATGTGGATGTCCAGCCATATGCCTTTACAACAAAATCCCTGTTTGTTGGTCATACAGATTACAAATTCCTGCGCTACCAAGTGATTGACACACCAGACATACTTGATCGGCCTTTTGAAGATAGAAACATCATAGAAATGTGTAGCATCACTGCTTTGGCACACTTGAGGGCTGTAGTGTTGTTCTTTCTGGACATTTCTGAATCTTGTGGGTACAGTATCGCTCAGCAAGCTGCACTCTTCCACAGTATAAAGTCTCTGTTCATGAATAAGCCTTTGGTCATTGTGTGCAAAAAGACTGACTTGCAGCCTCTTGAAGGGCTTTTTGAGAATGACATGAAACTAGTTATGGAGATGAAGGCAGAGGCTATGAAGACTGTAACCCAAGCTGGTGGTCCTAATGAAGAGGGTGTTCCGTTGACTGTTGGCCCCTGGATCTCCGGCACGGGTGAGCCGACCGCTCATCAGCGTTGTCGACCACACACTATGGCTAGATGTAGAAGAAGGGAGGGAGAACAGAGCGCGCACACACACAACACAAGCACCAGCGTTGGCCGGAGATCTACAGAGGAGATGAAAAAACTGAACTCGCTCACTTTACTAAGTTGCAGTGGGAAACTATATACAACTCTACCCATCTAATCCTAGTACACAGACATGTCAGGCTGCCATGCTGCTACAGTGACTAGATGTGACGGCAGGGCTGACTTTGGCGCCTGTCCCTGCTGTGGCTACAGTGCGGCAGGGGAGCCTTTCGGCGCCTGCCCCTGCAGCGGCTATAGTGCAGCAGCAGGGAGCCTTTCAGCGTCTGCCTCTGCCGCGCGTTCACACAGGGGAGCAGCAGATTACTTAACAATTCTTTCCCTAATCCTACTGCTAACCCTAGAACCCGCTCTATGCTGATCATCTTCTTCAGCTCCGTGAACCGAAGACGGCCGAGCCGCTTGGTGAGGACGTCCGCGAGTTGCCGACCAGTTTTCACGAACTCGATGATGATCTGCCCTCCATCGATACAGTCCCTGAGGAAGTGAAACTTGATGTCGATGTGCTTGCTCTGGTCGTGGAGAACCGGATTCTTCGCGAGGACGATGGTGGGCTGGTTGTCCACCATCAGTGCTGGTGGGTGAGCTTCCACACCGGTCAGCTCGTCTAGCAGCCGACACAGCCACACAGGTTGGCACGTCGCTGTGGCCGTCATCACGTACTATGCCTCGCACGTGGACAGCGCACCACCTTCTGTTTCAGCGATAGCTATGAGATTGGAGCCGACCCGAGAAAAACGAGCACGCCAGAGGTGCTCCGCCGTCCGTCGATGTCCCCCACCATGTCTGCATCGCTGAACACAGTGAGCTATAGTCTACTTCCGCCGGTCTTGGGGAAGATGATCCCCTGATCCACCGTCCTCTTAACATAGTGCAGCAGCCGTTTCACCGCAGCCCAGTGATCCTCTCGGGGATCCTCCATGAAGCGGTTGACGTAGCTCACGGCGAACGCAATATCCGGTCTCGTGTGGACTAGGTAGCGCAGACCGTCGACGATGCTCCGGTAGAGTGTTGCATCTATCTTCGCCGTGGTACTGGCCTTCGTCAGCTTCAGCCGCTCCTCCATCGGAGTCACACACGGCTTGCACTCAGCCATGCCACTCCGCTCCAATAGTTTCGAGGTGTACGCGCTCTGCCCGAGCGTGAGCGCCTCCTTCCCCTGTCTCACCTCGATGTCGAGGTAGTAGGAGAGCGCGCCGAGATTGCTCATTCGAAAATGAGCCGCCGTCTTGAGCTTGAAGTTGTCGATGTCCTCCGTACGTGCGCCGGTGACGATCAAGTTGTCCACATACACGCCGACGACGAGCTCGTCCTTCCCCCGTCGCCGCATGTAGAGTGCGTGCTCGGTTGCGCACCGCGTGAACCCAAGCTCACCCAGCGTGGCGTCAAGCTTGACGTTCCACGCTCGCGGGGCCTGTCGCAACCCGTAGAGCGCCTTGCACAGTCGGAGCACCCTGTGCTCCGCTCCCTTGACGGCGAAACCCGGAGGTTGTCGGACGAAGACTGTCTCCGCTAGCTCACCATTGAGGAAGACCGATTTTACGTCTAGATGATGGACGCGCCAGTCCTTTGCTGCTGCCAAAGCCAGCAACAGTCGGATAGACTCCATGCGCACTACCGGCGCAAAAACTTCCTCGAAGTCGATGCCCTCGCGCTGGACAAAGCCTCGAGCGACGAGGCATGCCTTGTGCTTGACAATGGCGCCGCGCTCGTCCCGCTTGACCTTGTACACCCACTTCAGGCCGATCGGATGACATCCTGGAGGTGGATCGACGAGCTCCCAAGTCTCGTTTTCCTCGATCGCCTTCATCTCCTTCAGCATCGCCCGTCTCTAATTTGCATCATGCTCGGCCAGCGCAAACGTGGGTGATTCCTCTATACTAACGAGAAGCAGCTCTGGGTCATTGAGTAGCCGACCCGCCAGGCTTGAGGGCCCTGTGCCGCCGCCGATGTCGTCTAGCCTATGGAACCGCACCTCCTCACTGTCATGGAAGGCATCCACGAACTCAGTGATGTCGCTTGGAGGTGAGGAGAACTCGATCAGAGTCGATGGAGTTCTCTGTTCTGTCGGAGTGGTCGGCACAGCACCTGGAGTGCTCGGCACCCTAGCTGCAGTGCTCGGCACTACTCCTGGACCGCTCGTCACCACTCCTAGAGTGGTCAGCACCACACTACAGGAGTGCTTGGCACCAGTCTTGGAGTGGTCGGCATCACTGCAAGACCTCTCGACTCCGCTACGGGAGTGTTCGACACCCGTCCTGGAGTAGTCTGCACCACTACAGGACCGCTCGGCACCACTCCTGGAGTGCTCGGCACCCCTCCCGGAGTGCTCGGCACCGCCCCAGGAGTGCTCGGCTCTATTGCTGGAGTGGTCGACACCTCCTCTCCAGCATCTCCACCATCATGGATAACTAAGTGCTCGATGACGAAGGTGCTGGTGAAGCCACCAGCTTCCCCCGCGCCCGGACTGTCCTAGTCCTAGGCCACCTTCTCGTCGAACACGACGTCGTGCGAGACAACCACCTTGCCTCCACGTGGGCCATAGAGCCGGTACACCTTGGTACCTTCCGTGTAGCCCAAGAGCACCATCGGTGTGCTCCTATCCTCCAGCTTGGTGCGGAGCGACTTCGTCTTTCTGACGTGGCCGATGCAGCCGAATGTCCGAAGAAAGGACATGGTTGGCCTCCGCCCATACCAAGCTTCGAACGGTGTCTTGCCCTTCAGGACTTTGGTGGGCTCGCGGTTGAGGATTAACACCGTCGTGGTCATCGCCTCACCCCAAAACCTTGCCGGCATGATCTTGGCCTTCATCATGGATCAAGCCATGCCGACCACCGTCTGGTTCCTTCACTCCACCACGCCATTCTGCTATGACGAGTACGACGTGGTGTGGTGTCACAACACACCCTAATCCGCGCATTACGCAGCAAACTCCACCGAAGTGAATTCACCGCCGCGATCAGTCCGCAGCACGCGCAGCTTCTTGCCGCTCTCCGTCTCCGCATGCGCCTTGAACTTCTTGATCGTCCTCCTCCTGGTTCGTCAGGAGTTGCAGCCACATGTAGCGACTGCAATCATACATGAGCAGGAGGAAGTGCCACCGACCGCCGTTTATGGCTGGCGTGATTGGCCCGCAGAGTTCGTCGTGGATGAGCTCAAGAGCGTCCGTCGCTCGATACTTGGCCGTCTTTGGGAACGACAGCCTCCTCTGCTTTCTGGCCAGGCAGCTGTCACACAGCTCACCTCCGTGCTTGATGTGGGGCAGCCCTCGGACCATCTTCTCCAGTTGATCGAGCGTGTCAAAGCTGAGATGATCAAACCGGACATGCCACAACCACGATTCCTTGGTATGCCATGCTGCCAGGCACACCGGCTGCTCCACCTTCAGGTCGAGCAGGTACAATTGATTATGTGAGCGTTTTACCTTCGCGAGAATACTCCGCTCGTGATCCTGAATCTTCAGGATCCCGCTCTCGATCGGTACCTCACATCCGCGCTCGTCCAGCTGCTCGATGCTGATGATGCTTGAACACAGCTACGGGATATAGTACACATCCGTCAGCGCACGATGCTCACCGTTCTGGCACCTGAAGATGATGGTGTCGCGCCCTTGGATCGCCACCCTTGAGCCGTCACCGAACTTCACCGTGCCGGTCACGTTACCGTCGAGCTCGAAGAAGGCTTCCTTAGAGCCCGTCATGTGGTTGCTGGCGCCGGAGTCTAGGTACCACCGCTGCTCCTGTTTGCCGCCCACATGTCCGAGGTGGACTTGGGCGCGTGGTTCGTCGAAGTTGACAGCCTTCAGAGCCTTCCTAGGCCCTTCCACCGCCATCACCTCTCCCTTCTCCTTGGCCTCAGCGTCGTGCAGTGCACAGAATGTCGCCATCAGGAGAGTGGCATCATCATCATCAGCCTGCGCCAGATGAGCCTCGGCCTTCTTCTCCTATTTGCGATTTGGGCATTCATTTGCCCAATGGCCCGTCTTTCCACAGCGCCGGCAGGCGTTGTGGTCGACCTTCTTCTTCTTCTTGTTTGAAGAAGCCTTACCGCGGCGCTTGCCATCGCCACCGCGGCTGTAGGAGGCTTCCTCAAAGTTCCTCCAGGCAGCCCACTCCTCTGTCAGCAGCAGCTTGCCGCTGTCCTTCGTTGCTGTGGCCTGCTCCATGTGCTCGTCGACCACCCGCAGACGGCCTGTCACATCCTCAATGGTGAGGGTAGACAAGTCCAGCGTCGTCTCTATGGAGAGAGCGATCTGAATGTACTTCACAGGCACGGAGTGGAGGTACTTGGAGACCGCCTCCTCTTCGTTGATGGTGACGACATGGCTGTAACAGAACCGACCAATTATACGAGATTAAGTAAGAAAATCTTCCGCCGAAGCAGACAATTTAGCTAACTTAAGCCCATATAACCCGGTAGCCCGTGAAACCACGAAGGATTTCAAACCAATCGACATACAAACCAAGATCGTACAAGTTTAGCAAGTACCGTCACACGTTACATAAAGTTTGCAATCACAGATCGGTACATCAGAGTTTAAAACATAAAGTTATTACAATCCAAGTTCAAACTGAAGTAGCGGAAGCAAATAGTTTTAAAGCCACACACACACTTTTAGTTCAGATACAATGCCAGCAGGTAGTCATCTCCAACAAAAGCATCAGATGAGGGATACGGAGTGACCATTGCCCTTGGTCCTAGTTGTCACCCATCGCCGGATACAGGCAGTTAATGCAATAGCCGTAGTACATTTGACCATCTGCAACAACAATGGGAACAACGCCCTGAGTACGAGAAGGTACTCAGTTAGACTTACCCGTCTTAAACCAAGATAAAGCGACACCAAGGATTATGCAAGGCTTCCTTTAGTGGGCTAGCTGACTTGTTTGCGAAAATCATAAGTTATCATGAAGACATCATTTTAAATACTTTGCATCATCTTTATTATAACCTATTCATCTAGGTAAACACATGTACTATATCAATCACTTGATTAACCAATAACATTCAGTTACCAATTTAGCTTTAGCATATCCCATACCATCCAGATAACCATCATTGTTCCATAATAATTACTACGATGCCGTAGCTCGAGTCAAGTGCTCACTATCCAGGAGCGATGGCGATTCGAATCGATTCCTAACCAGCTAGTGATTTATTCCTCACATAAACCATGCTTCCCCCGTCAGGGTCACTTAGATCACCAATGACACTTTCCAAGTAGCCGCGGGATAACAATCATGGACCGCACTACCCAGGGACAGCCCGACTGCCAGGACGCACCTTGGGCTCACTCTTCGCATCCCCGTTAGACCCTCTTCAGCACCGGTCTACGCATCCGAGTTTATCCCGGCTCGAAAAGGTGTCACTAGCTTCACGGTCGAAAGGTACTTTATTCGGCCAGCTAAATATGAGGCATGCGTTCAACATGACAAGAGGGACGAGCAACGATCGGTCCTTAATCGACGCAGACGGAAAACTAACTGCACCCCAGAACCTTGTCTGGCTGCCTCCAACTTTTTCCGTCCGGTCTCCAATTATTCATCACACATGGTTAATTCTAGGATATCATTCTTTCCATAGCTAATTTCTTTCAGTAACCACCTATAAAAGTAGGTGACCGGAAATCACCGATCACTACCGGTCTAAGCAGGGCTAAGCAGTTATTCGATCCTGACCTAACAGGGTAAAAGGTAATAAGGTAGGCAAGGATAGTAATAAATGCATCAACAGTTTCAATCAACTCCTACAACTTAATGCAACAATATATAACTCATATAGATAGAAATAATTGCTTTTGTAAAGTAGGAGACTTAGAATGCTCCGGGGCTTGCCTCGTTCGAACGAACTAGGATGATGATCCACGCACTCGGGCAAGTCCTCTCCTTGCTCCTCTTCCTCTGGCACCTCCTGTGCCTGGACTTCTTGTGGATCTGTCCCGGTCTGCTCTTCCTGAACTGCTACTAGCAACTCCTCCTACGATCATGTATGATGCAGATGTATAAGTGCTAATGCATAGGTGCATTGGAGAGATGACATGTAATGATCATGATACATGAAATGTAGATGACCATGTTTAACCTTATTGGACATAGTAGTAGCAAAGCTCTTCTACAAGGTAGTCAACATCATCCAAGAACATGTACTACTATCTACTACGACAACCACTGTACTAACATGCCAAATCACCACAGCAAACTAAGATGCTTCAAAGATACACCAAAGCGAACATTATTAACTAAACTCGCATTAAAGAAGATCATTTGATTTTATTTTAAACTAGGGCTACACAGCAACATATATTTCTGTTGCTCATAAAAATCTGAGAAAATTACAGTAGCATACTACTACTCTAAGTAGACTACCATAAAATTTTCATTGCATTTGGATAAGTAAAATAGCCTACACAAAAATGACAAGGCATAAGTGCTTAAAAAGGCATCAATAGAAAACCTTAGTTAAAAGTGTCAAGCAATAGATTTCATATTTTTCCTAATATCCTTAAAGTACTGGGATACTCCCCACAAAATTTCATGGTCATAGGATTCCAATATAATTTACAAAAATTTACACAAGTATGAATCAATGATAAAAGGAAAATCTATAACTCAAAAACCACACATGCAATGACTCTCAAATTTTTACCAAAGCTTCTACTAAGCAAGAATAGCTTACCCACAAAATTTTATAATTTTTGGACCACAGAAACTCTAGATATAAAATAAACAAGTTTGCATGCATTCAAAAACACATTTCAAATTTCCATTTAAATCTTCCAAAATTCTACCGTAAGTATCAAGAATATATTTTTCCTAAATACTAGACTTTCTAAGGAACACTACCAAATTTATTTCATAATTTTTGAAGCTACAAAACTGGAGATACAATTATTACAAAACAGCATAGAAACCTGGAATATTTGCACTATCCTATTGCTCAACGGTCACTGGCAAGCGGGACCTACACGTCAGCTAGGACCATGCGTCAGCGACAAGAAAAACAGGGGACGGCTCACTCGACGATGCGGCAACGACGAAACTCGCCGGCGGCCACACCTCCGGCGAGGCCAATGGCACAGGCGTGTTCCTAGCGACGATACGCACCTACCCATACCCGTTCCCCGACCGCTACCACGCTCTAGCTATGACGGCGTCGGCAATGGCGGACGGCGGCGAGGTCGCTGCGGGACTCCGGCGATGGCGAGCCCCCATTGCCCCGGCCAAGCTCGGTACGAGCTTCACGGGGTCACGGTGACGCTATCCAAGAAGAGAAAGGAGAAAGGAGACGCCCCTAATGCTCCGGCCACGGTGAGCTCAAACTCCTGTGAGGTCGAAGCACGGTGGCTGCGGGCTCGGCGAATCTTGTTGTCGACACGAACACGATAGGCTCGACGAGAGGAGGAATAGGTCTGAGGAGATAGTGGGGAAGGCTGTGGGCAAGATGGAGCGAGGTGAAAGCGCAGCAATGCGAGTTTGCGGGAGCTCGAGCCGGAGTTCACGGCGGCAATGGCGTTTTGCTGGGGAAGAAGAATGCGATCTCAACCAAGACTCACCGGCTCAACGCGAGGTGGACGAGCTAAAAAAGGCAACTACGGTGGCGGCTGTGGGCTGTTTGAAGGCGGCAAGGGCCTTGATGGCGAGGAGATGGCGGCCGACGCAACACTCTCGGCGGCACGCGCAGACGCGGCTTACGCTCGGCTTCCGTGGGTTCTGACGAGGCGAGACGCGGCATAAGCGAAGCAAATAGGCGAGCCAGCGGCAGCGATGGCGATGTCGTGGCAGCGACGGCCTGACCTGTGGGGGCTGCGACGGCGTATGGCCTCCACTTGCGCGCTTGGCGGATGGCGGTCGACCCACTCGGCTGACGAAGACGGCCATCAGACCCCATGATCGAGCCGGCGGCGCAAATTGATTGACGTTCGTTCTCCTAAACCGTGAAGTATTAGCTCATACAATCTACACAGAGTTGTAGCTCTAAGTACCCTCTGCAATTCGTCTTAAACGATCAAGACCTAATTCACAACGGTTAAGGAGTAATGTCATCCCAAAGGTTGGCTTGTCAAACTATCGGCGTCAAACACTTGTAAAAATTTTCCTAAGTGCTCAAAACAGTGAAAAGCTGATTTTTGGAAGCCAATTTTAAGCATGTTAGGAGCTAAACTAGTCTATGACACAAACATAAAAGTTGTTCCCCACATCAAATACTACAACTTTGCTTTAGTGACCACCTTCATGCAAAGTCTATAGCACGCAGTTCAAACTTGGTCAAACATGTTACATTCTAAGGATGACTTGTACTTGAACCCTGACCTAATGACCTATTTACCCTTAACCATGAATATCAAAGTTGTTCATAATGGTGCTCTAGACATGTTTAAGCTAGTTGCAAGGTCACACACTCATTTCATGCATTGGTCACACATAGGGCTATCCAGTTCAACACACATAGCATCACTTAAGTACTGGATTAGACAAAATGATCTTCATGAATATTGTTCCACTAGTCATCATAAGTGTAGCTAATATGTTTTAGTGACTCACATCAACTACTCACACCTATTCACTCATGATCATAAGCATACACAAAGAAAACATAAAATAACAAGACATGTTTCGTATGTTTCATTCATATGTTTCAAATGTAAAAGCGTAAATATGAATGCTTGATGCTCATGCTTATGCAATGCAAGTCAATTTATGCAAGGCTAACACCGAGGGTGTTACAGTGGCTCCTCAGCTTGCTGATGAGCGACTGCAGGTGGAGGGAGAAGTCCTCCACCGATTCACCATCCTTGAAGTTGAGGTTGGCGTACTCCTGCTTCAGCAGCTGGGCTGTCGCCTTCTTTGCGTGGTCGGAGCCGACGCGCATCGCTGTAATGGCCTCCCACGCCTCCTTAGCAGAGTTCTTTGCCCCAAACGGCTCCCTCTACTCCGCTGGCACAGCAGCGAGGATAGCCTTCAACGCTGACATGTCATCTTCGTTGTCGGTGCCCTTGTCAATGGCATTCCAGAGCCGTCGGGCTCTGAGCTTGACCTTCATGGTCACCGCCCACTCGCCATAGTTGGTGCGAGTCAGCGTCGGCCAACTGGTGCCGCTGACCTTCCGCACCATGCGCACGACGGCCTCCTGTCGTGGCTGGGCAGCCACAACAGCGCCGCTGCTGTTGCCCATCTCCAAACCGTCCGTCATCGCCAGCGGTTAGTCCGGTGACGGCGCTTATACGGCTCCGATACCACTTGTTGGCCCCTGGATCTCCGGCATGGGTGAGCCGACCGCTCATCAGCATTGCCGACCACACACTATGGCTAGAGATGGAAGAAAGGAGGGAGAACAGAGCGTGCACACACACAGCACAAGCACCAGCGTTGGCCGGAGCTCTGCAGAGGAGATTGCAAAACTGAACTCGCTCACTTTACTGAGTTGCAGTGGGAAACTATATATACAACTCTACCCATCTAATCCTAGTACACAGACATGTCAGGCTGTCATGCTGCTACAGTGACTAGATGTGACAGCAGGGCTGACTTTGGCGCTTGCCCTTGCTGTGGCTACAGTGCGGTAGGAGAGTCTTTTGGCGCCTGCCCCTGCAGCGGCTACAGTGCAGCAGCAGGGAACCTTTCGACGCCTGCCCCTGCCGCGCGTTCACACATGGTAGCAGCAGATTACTTAACATTCACTATGAGCGCTTTAACAGATGATGGTGTAATGGAAGTAAAAAATGTTGCATTCGAGAGGCTTCTTGAACTTAGGGTGGATGTGAAGATGAAATCAAAGAAGATGATGGATTGCTTGAATAGGTTTCATGTTGCTGTTCCAAAGCCTCGTGACAACAAGGAGAGGTCTGTTTGCATACCTCTGGCCGTTCTGGAAGCTAGGGTGAATGCTGCTGCAAAGGAAAAGAAGCTTGAGAAGAACCTTGAGAATGAGAATGGAGGTTCTGGGGTCTATTCTGCAAGTCTCAAGAAACATTATATATTGGCCAATGATGAATGGAAGGAAGATATTCTTCCTGAGATACTGGATGGTCACAACTTTGCTGATTTTGTGGATCCAGATATCAAAGTAAGGTGTGAAGAGTTGGAAAGAGAGGAGGGGCTTCGTCTGGAAGAACAAGCTGCAGAAGATGCTTTTCAGATTGATGGCCATGAATTAACTCAGGAACAGAAGGATATTTTGGCTCAGATTAGGAAGAAGAAGGCATTACTCATCCAAGAGCATAGAATGAAGAAGAGAACTGCAAAAAGCCGTCCTATTGTCCCTAGAAAGTTTGACAAAGATAGGAAATTCACAACTAATAGGATGGGACAGGCAGCTTTCCTCCATGGGTGTGGATCCTAGTGCTGCCATGGATAGAGCTTGCAGCCAGTCCAGGGGCCGCAAGCGTGAGAGGTCAGTGAGCAGAGCTGCAGCTGATGGTGATGATATGGAGATAGATGGTCTGCAATCCAATAAGAAACTGCGTCTGACGTCAAGGTCTAGGTCGAGGTCATGGGCTCCTGAGGAGGTCATTCCTGGAGAAGGATTCAAGGACTCTGAGCAGTAGAAGAAGGCTATCAAGAAAGCAAAGGGTGCTACAAGGAACAGGAACAAGGATGCTCGCCGTGGAGAGGCTGACCGCGTTATTCCCACTTTGAAACCAAAGCATCTGTTCTCTGGGAAATGCACTCTTGGAAAGACAAGCAGGCGATAAGGTCAGCACCTCACTAGATCTGGTTGGTCTTATTTTCAATCAAACATTTGTGTTGGCTTTCTTTGCTCTACTATTGTGTCCTGCCACATAGTTAGCCTAATTAGCCTAATCCTGATCTCAAGCTTTGCCACCGTGAGAAAGTTTCAGAGCTGTAGCAAACTTGTAACTGCATTGCCAGCTTGAATTTGAAAATGTATATATGTTTTGTTGGAAATAATCCTGTGTGTCTAGGTGCATGCTAGTGTCGAGGTTCATAGCATTTACTTTAGCTAAATTCCGGCATGCATGGAGTAACAGGTTGTTTATTTGGGTAATATTCTGCATTAATTAGGAGAATGTCACAGCCATGATTGTAGCTCACGACTGCCTATATATATGAGATAAAAACAGAAAAAACTAAGTCATTCCAGCCACCAAAATCTTTTGTGCTCGTGTATGTTCTTGTGTGTGAGTTCCTGGTGAACTGTTAGAGGCTATTTGCCTTACATGTTTGACCTTTTAATAGTGTTTTGTTCGCCTTCTGTTTCATCCTCCCTTTCCGGACAAGAAACTCAGTTTGTTTTTGAAGGAAAAGAGTCAAAACTCGCACTGAGATTACCTGTTTGATATGTTCTCTTTATATTGGGCAGGGATTCAGAAAAGAGGTCATTGGGCTTTGCGCTTCCACAGGAGGAGGGAGATAACACTCTAGCGATCAGCAGCAGGACTGGAGTTCTTCAGTAATCTTCTGGAAAAGCAAGTCAGTCGGCGATGGCCTGCGTGCCGTAGCAGCCCTCTCAGGCTTGTAATTAGTTTTAGCTCTGTTAATTTTTGGCCTTGAACCTTGTCTTTTCGTTCTGGGTGAGGTTTAGTTGTCTACGGTTTTGGTTGCCGTTCTGGTTGGGCCCTGTGTGCTCAGTTTGGATGGTAGATTGGTAGTTGGTTTTTGGTCACAAACTTGTTAGATGCCATGAAACTCCTGCAATTTCGTTGCTTATCAGTAATGAAATTCTGTTCGTCCGTGATGGAAAAAACAATGTCCAGGCTGACATTCTCCTAAGTGGATTGAGGAAAGGCGTTGATAAAATAAAGGTAAGATGTGACAGACTAATGCATTAACTGGAATATAATCAAGCTCTTCAGATTTATATTCATATCATACGACAAGTATCGTGTTAGTTGCTTTTGTACAACATAATAGTGCGTTCTAGGTGTAATTTCAAGTTTACAATTTGTGTTCTCCTACTATTTTACTTAGTCCATTCTAAATTATAAAACACTTTGGTTTCCTCTAATGTAGCTTTTTTTTCGAAAGGACGGCAAAAGCTTTGCCGTAATTTTTATTAGACGATAAGAAGAAAAAACTTTACAAACGAAGACAGGAAGCAAAACAAAAACAAAACCTTTTTACAACTAGGACTACTGGAACTAAACTGTCCATACTACTTGACAACTGAAAAAAAAAACTGGATTGTTCGACTGCTTGGCGATGGCCATAAACGAAGCTTGCACCTGCTATGATTTCGTCAGTCCATTGGTTCTTATTGATTTGGCGTCTCCATTGCCATGCGGTACAGGGTAATATCATCTTTACACAAGGCCGCAACCTGTCTTGGGTTCAAAGATTTTTGTTGGAAAATTCGTCTGTTTCTCTCCTTCCAAATGTTCCACCAAAAGTAGATTATTATCCCATCAAACTTTCTTCTCTGATTTTTGTCCACCTTTCTCCTACATTTTTGCCAGAACTGATGGAGCGATCCATTTGTGCTCACCGTGTTGAGAGCCGAAAGTTGAAACCATTGTTTGATGTTCTCCCAAGCCTCTTTTGTGTATGGGCAATCCTTAGAAAGATGCGTCGGTGTCTCCTGCTGGATCCCACACAATTTGCAAATTGGATCATTATCCCATCCGCGCTTCATTAGATTGTTTGCCGTTAGGATTTTCTTATGCAATAAGGTCCAGACGAAGAACCTACATTTCGGCTCTGTACTGGCCTTCCAAATTGGCGCTATCCTTATTTTACTGAATGTACCCTCGAATTGTATAAGATAGGCACTTCTTGTAGTGTATTCCCCATTCTCTGTCCATCGCCATTTTATCTCATCCTCTACCTCCGGATTTAACTGGATATCCTTGATTGCTTCACAGAGATGCACAAAATCATTTACTTCTGCTTGTGTGGTGGGAGGGTATATGTGGTCGATCCATTTGTTGGTTGCCAAAGCCTTTTGAACTGTGATTTTTTTGCGGCGTGTTTTTTGATACAAGTGTGGTGCCAAGTTTTTTGCTGTGTCACCGTTTATCCAAGGAGAGGTCCAGAAAGCTGATGTTCTTCCATCTCCAGTGTTGACAACCGTTGATGCATTGAAAAGGTCATGATCATATTTGTCGCAAGGAATCTCCAGTCCGTTCCACGCCCTTTGTTTTTGTTTCCATCTTAACCACAACCATCTTAGTCTTAAAGCTCTGGTGAACCTCTCAAGATCTAAAATACCCAGTCCTCCCTTCTCCTTTGGTCTGCATGTGGTAGGCTAATTGATCAAAGAATGCCCTCCACTGACTTTGTCTGGTGTTTATCCTCTCCATCTATGCTTTTGATTAGCCACTTCTGTGCGTGGAACACTGTGAAGTGATAGATCGGTAGTGCCGATAGGACAGTTTTCACTAAGGTCTCTCTACCTGATGTTGACAAAATTTTTCCTTTCCATCCCGGAATTCTTGCCCCTATCTTATCCACCAGAGGTTGTACTTCAACTTTCCTTAGTTTTCTAGTATGTAAAGGTAGTCCCAAATACTTCCCTGGGAAACTGCTGATCTTTCCTGGGAAACATTGGATGAGAGTAGGTACCACTTCTGATTGTAGTCTAATCGGAAATATTTCTGTCTTTGCCATGTTGATTCTGAGCCCTGAGCATGTACCAAAAAATTGCAGAATTTTTTGTAAGCTCATTAGTTCCCCGGCTGACGGGTTTGCGAACAGTGCTGCATCATCAGCATACAGAGAGCATTGCAGCCTCGCTGCTCTCGGGAGGACTGGTTGAAGGATACCTTGCTCTGCCGCTTTTTCAATAATTCGCTGCAGTGGGTCAGATGGCGAGGATGAAAAGCATTGGAGATAATGGATCGCCTTGTCTAAGGCCTCTTGCGTGTTTAATGTTTTGGCTCGGGGGTCCATTAATGAGAATTTTGGAGGACAATGTTCCCAAGATTGTAGAGATCCAGTCTCTCCATTTGGTGCTGAACCCAAGCGCTCTCAATACCTCCAGCAGGAATGACCATTCTATCGAGTCAAAAGCTTTAGAAATGTCTAGCTTTATGAATGCTGGCTTCTTATTCTAATGTAGCTTTTGTTATGTAACTATATCTAGATATATAGTAAAAGCAATTTATCAGCAAAAACATCTTATAATTTTGAAGAGTAATACTTACTTGCACCTGCGGCAGATTTTTCTCTGGTGAAGCTTGTTGAAGCCGCCTAAACTTTTCATGACGTGACTAACTCGCGGTTGTGAAACAAACACTAGCCTAAGCGGTGTGCACGCCTAACATTTGGCTTGGCAATCTTGATAAAGTTAAAGCAAGATCTCTAGGCATAAATCTAGCATGTCTATTTGCACTTGGAATAAACCGTGAGTCATAAAAGCATTGACTAGTACTGGATTAATAAATAGAGTGAGGAAGAAAGGGGTGAAGGGGGTGCAAACCATCGGCCGCCTTGGAGGAAGACGGGTGAAACGACCTGATTTTCGCGAAGGAAAATTCACAGAGTCGAAGTGTAATAAGACCATTGTAGATTATATTATCTAAATTCCAGTCGAATATCACATCCATACAACGTAATATCATAGTACAAATAGTGCGGAATTACATAAATTATTACATCGCCTTATTGACGGAATCAAAAGTAGCATTCATCCAGAACAGTTTGAAGATAAGATTGCCAAACTCGAGCGTAGGAACGAACCCCTCAACCGTCAAACTCCTCAGAGCTATACTCCTCAACAGAAACTGTGTGCCAAAATTTATCAGTACGATTTGTACTGGCCACTCCCACCCTATGAGCATTGTTTTGTGGAAATTGAATGCATGTTGGATATAATCAAAAGAAACCTATAAGGCTGAGGTTTCCTATGTATTAGCATATCAAGTATATAATAATAGTTGGTCAGGTTTTAACAACATTCTCACACCTATTCTACCCTATTTCTGTCCAGAGCCAGGTTTCGATTCTGGGATCGATATACCACCATCTTCACATCATCACCACATCACCACCATACCATCGCTCAGTCGACAGGCCAACTCCCTCTTAGGCACTGTCTCATGGCCCGTAGCCCCTGGCTACGACCGAACACTCACTCACAGGGGAGGAAGAGAAGGACTCATCTCACTATCTAGTTTAAGCGAAACAGGAAAGGTCCATAGCCAACAAGTTAGCATATGTATCGATCGATCAACTATATACTCTGTAGAGGTTTTACATAACCACAAGATCCACCTTCCTCGCTGACCGTCGTCAACTAGGCTAATTCCGGCCGCTTGCTAGCCTAGGATAATACCACCCTACCATTCAGCCCTGGTACACCCCAAGTCTAGTCTGGGGTGGCTGAAACTGTGAGTCACGAGCCGGGTTCACAAGGTCTCCATGAAGTCTCGGAAGGGTGTGGGG